TCCTTGTTTTTGAATCATTCTCAGCGCATGCAATCGCTTGGAAATGGTTTGGCGGGTAACTCCTAGTGCTGAAGCAAGCTCTTTCTGCGTTTGGCACGGATCCTCATCGAGCAATGCCTCCAATTCAGCGTCTTCGAAGGTTTTTGGCCTTCCTTCACGCGAACGGTCGTCAATATCGAAATCACCGTCTTTGAAGCGACGGAACCAATCACGGCACGTTGTTCCACTTAGAGCAGCATCTCCGTAAACTTTTTGGAGTTCTCGATGCGCTTCAGCCGCCGTTTTCTTCGAATGAAAGAAGAAAAGCAACACTTCCCGCAAATGACGATTATTTGGCACAAAATAAGACATTTTCACACAACCAAAAGTATATGACGCAAAAACAAAATCACTAATGTGTCAAAGCGGTTTGTTTACCATATGTCTAAGCTTGGTTCATGACGTTTTGGTTATGTCACAATCGACCAGCACTTACTACTGGAGCCATCTCTTGAAAAACAGCGGGAACAGATAAAAGTTGTATGGTTTTAAGGGGGACATAAGATGGTGTCATTGGTTTGACCTTGGATAGTTATTTGAAGATCACGTGAATGTCGATTTCAATATTTTATATAGAATCCCCTATTTTTACATATCTTGTAGCTTATATCGAGAGCTTTCCAAAACACTATCGTAAACCACGTAGAAACACTTATTACAAATACTTCTGAAAGAAATGACTGACGTATTTTCTGCCGCAAGGCTAAATACGAAGTTTTGAAAAGAACTGTTTTAAGAACTGTATGCACCTTTTTGAGCAACTACGATCCCTCAAGCTTTTAATTCAATAGACCAAGTTCTGCTTATGTCCATGGCCTTATATCGGATCCGATCTCACATCTTAATGTCAGAGATACACAAAATGCGTGTATGTGCGTACCCAGGGACCTGGTTACGATAAAAATAAAACTAGTTCTTGTCAGAGCTGCTTCTCGAGATTTTCTTATTACGCAAAAAGATATCTTGTTATTTTTGAGTTTTTCTTCTTTATTTTTTCTCCTTCTTTAGTTTTTAATCTTGCATAATTATTCAGATTTGATCTACAGTGAATTGCAATTTATAATTAGGAGTTTCCAATATGGCAGAGATAATATTAATGTTCCTGTAAACGAAACAATAACTATTCCTTTTAGTAGACCATCTATGACACATAAATGCATTATCTGCAAAGCTAAGTCGCCGCTTGTTGTTGTACCTTCCCTGGCTAAACTTCGGGTTTTTGTTAAGCGTAGATTGATAATTTACGGAAAGACACGATGTTGCAAGAGACATTTAAAAGGCAGCTTTTTTAACGTCACTGATTCAAATCATATTGAAGCAGTTTCTGATATAAGTACATTAAGTGCATCACAGATAACTGACCTGCTAAATGACCTTCGTGCTTGTGTACAGAGAGGGTTCTTAGATTTTGAAAATCCTGGAGCATTCAGTGATATTGATTACCACCGACTTACCGGAATATCTAGCGCAAACTTCGACAATCTTTTCAGTTATGTGAAAAGTGAAATCCGTAGTACGCTTGCAAGTGCACGTACAACATGCAAGTGCACTTGCAAGTGCAATATACATACATTAGGTGCGCAACTAAGTTCCCGCTGTTTTTCAAGAGATGGCTCCAGTAGTAAGTGCTGGTCGATTGTGACATAACCAAAACGTCATGAACCAAGCTTAGACATATGGTAAACAAACCGCTTTGACACATTAGTGATTTTGTTTTTGCGTCATATACTTTTGGTTGTGTGAAAATGTCTTATTTTGTGCCAAATAATCGTCATTTGCGGGAAGTGTTGCTTTTCTTCTTTCATTCGAAGAAAACGGCGGCTGAAGCGCATCGAGAACTCCAAAAAGTTCACGGAGATGCTGCTCTAAGTGAAACAACGTGCCGTGATTGGTTCCGTCGCTTCAAAGACGGTGATTTCGATATTGACGACCGTTCGCGTGAAGGAAGGCCAAAAACCTTCGAAGACGCTGAATTGGAGGCATTGCTCGATGAGGATCCGTGCCAAACGCAAAAAGAGCTTGCTTCAGCATTAGGAGTTACCCGCCAAACCATTTCTTCATCTTTGATGCGATCTCCCATCAAAACCTGGTCCCAACCAGGGCGGTGTTATTTATTATGAGCTGTTGAAACCGAACGAAACCATCACTGGGGAACGGTATCGAACTCAATTGATGCGATTGAGCCGAGCACTGCGCGAAAAGCGGCCACAATACGAGCAGAGGCACGAAAAAGTGATTCTACAGCATGACAACGCTCGGTCTCACGTTGCCAAACCCGTTAAAACCTACTTAGAAACGCTCAAATGGGAAGTCCTACCCTACCCGCCATATTCCCTAGATATTGCGCCGTCCGATTATTACTTGTTCCGTTCGATGGCACATGGTCTGGCTAATCAGCAGTTCCGCTCATATGAAGACATCTCAAAATGGCTTGATTCGTGGATAGCCTCAAAAGACGAACACTTCTACTGTGACGGTATTCGAGCTCTGCCAGAAAGATGGGAAAAAGTTGTCGCTAGCGATGGGCAATATTTTGAATGATTCATTTGTAACCATTTTTTCACAATAAAGTTGCATTTTCATCAAAAAAACAGCGAGAACTTAGTTGCGCACATAATATATATTGCGAGATATGTCGCAGTTGGAAATAATTGCTTGTAGATTATTTTAAAATTACTTATGTTGAAGGTCAATGAAAGCAGAATTACTACAATGAAGGATAACGCAGTACAAGTAGAAGATGTGTCTTTCCTGAAATCACCAAAAAGAAAAAGAATGACGGATGTTGGAACACAAATAGAAGAGGTACAGTCTTGTAAAAAAATTAAGAAAGATGTTGCAGTTCAAGTAGAGAAACGACTGTTCCTCCAAAGGAAGCATAAACGAAGAGGAGACTTGTAATATTGCAAAAACGTTTAAGACAAAGAGACAAATCCATAGCATCCATGAAAGCATTAATAAGCTCATCTAAAACAAAATGATAAATGTACTGACGCATTAGAGCAAGCATTAGAAAATAATTTTACAGGATTAACCTTAGATTTAATAAAAAATGAATTAAAAAATGAAAAAGTTTCTCCTTCTCGCAGAAGGTATTCAGATGAGATAAAGCAGTTTGCATTAACGCTTTCATTTTACTCTCCAAAGGCATATTCATTTGTACAAAAAGAGTTGCATTTGCCACATTCAGCAACATTGCGAAAATGGATGAGTACCTATAAATGTGATGTTGGTTTTCTGACTGAAGTTATTCAATTTTTAAAACAAGAAGTTTGTGAGAAAACGTACCTAAAAAACGTTGCTTTAATTTTTGACTCAATGGTTATTTGTAGTCAAGTATTGTATGACGCACAAAATGACAAATTCCGAGGATATATAGATTATGGCAATATTGCGATAGAAAATAAGGAAAAGTTAGCCAAATAAGCTCTAGTCTTTCAGATAGTATCATATACATGTAGATTTAAATGTCCAATTGCTTATTTCTACGTTAATAAATTAAATGCTGATCTCCAAGCACAGTTATTAATCCATACAATTAAAGTTCTACAGGAAATAGGAATAACCGTGCGATCAATAACATGTGTTGGATGTGGGACTAATAAAAAAACTTTTGAAATACTTGGTTGCTATTTTTCCAAAGAACCATTTACAACAATGTTTCGACATCAAACACATAATAGTAATATACATTGCATATTCGACCCGTGTCACATAATTAAATTGAGTAGGAACATTTTTGCTGAAAGTAATATCAGTAACCCACAAGGGAAAATAGATTTTAATTTTTTAAAAAAATTGCATTCATTACAAGATTTCAAGTTAGCAAATAAAATAAGTGGTGCACATATTTCATTTTTAATAAAAAAATGAATGTTCGATTGGCCGCATAAACTATAAGTAGCAGTGTTGCAGACGTTATCGATTTTCTAAGACATAGTGGTAATAAGGATTTTCAAGGTAGCGAAGCCACTTGCGAATTTTTGAGAATATTTGATAGATTATTCGATATGATGAATGCACGAAATTCGTTTGGAAAAAATTATAAAGCGCCCGTAAGAAAAGAAAATTTAAAACTGTTTAAGGAAATTTTTGATTCCAGTGTTTCGTATATCTCGTCATTAAAAGTTAATGACGTTCCTGTATTTCGTTGTAATAGGAAATCTTTTGCTGTAGGATTTATTTTAGATGCATCTAGTTTTGTTCATCTCGCAAATGATCTATTTTCAATGCCAACTTATAGTTTACATTATTTCCTACCTTACAAGTGTTCTCAAAATAATTTAGAACTCTACTTTTCGTGTATCAGAAATCAAGGTAGTTGGAATAACAATCCCAATTGCTTGCAATTTAAGTGGGCTTTACGTAAATTGCTTTTTAAAAATAAAATTTGCGCAAGCGTAAATGCAAACTGCATCATTGATACTTCTAATCTACCAGCAATATTCAAATTTCAAAATCAAAAACATGTTTCAAACGTTAAAGAAAATACTGAAGATATTAAACAGTTAAATAACTTAACTGAAATGTTAGACAACATCGAGCTGACGGGAGGATTAGCCCGGATCCGGAGTGAGACCCCCGCGACGGACACATATGGAACCTGAGCGAAGGGAGCTCCGGTGAAGGAAGTTTGGCCCAGGTAGGGGTTACTATGGTAGGTTCCCCCTCGGTTTTTCGCCGAGGGGGGGGGGTTTGGTGGGGTTCCTTCGGGGACCCCAGCATACCTTTGGGCGGGCTCCTCCGGTGGAGGTGCATGTGCGTGTGGGGGGCGATTACGTATCTGTGGGGGATCGTATGCGGTATCTCGGAGTGATCCTGGATAGTCGTATGACATTCAGGCCTCACTTCGAATATGTTCGGGTGAAGGTTGCGACGGTCGCGAGGAGGCCCTGGGCAGGCTGATGCTCAATTTACGGGGTCCCGGGGAGGCCCGGCGACGGTTGTACGCAACCGTCATGATGTCCGTGGTTCTCTACGGGGCGCCGGTTTGGGTTGAGGCCTTTGCTGCAACTCAGCGAGCCCAGGTGGACCTGAGGCGGATCCAACGCCGGATCGCCATACGGGTGGTGTCCGGGTACAGGACGGTGTCGTACGTGGCTGCGACCCTCCTGGCTCGGATGCCGCCCTTTGACATCCTGGCGGCGTCTCGCCGCCGGATGTATGAGAGGGCTCGCGACCTTCGCCCGTACAGGTTGTGGACGTCCGAGGCGGTCGCGGAGGCCCGGGCTGCGGAGGAGCTGCTGGTCCGCCGGCAGTGGCTTCTGCAGCTCCGGGCCCCGGGACTGCCGAGTGTTCGTGTGCGTGACGCGATCCTGCCGGAGTTTAATCTCTGGCTGGATCGTCCGAATCGTGGCGGCCTGACCTTCCATGTCACGCAGTTGCTGACGGGCCACGGGGTGTTCGCGGAATTTTTATACAAAATCGGGAAGTATCCGTCTCCGCAGTGTCTTCACTGCGGAGACGCGCGTGATGACGCACAGCACACCCTGCAGCACTACGTGGCATGGCGGGTGCAGCGCGAGGAGTTGGTGAGGGAGGTGGGCGGGGATTTGTCCCTGGCCGCGGTCGTGCGGGGGAGCCTCCGCTCTCGTCGGACCTGGTCGGCCGTGGCGAGGTTCGCCACGGTCGTGCTGGGCTCGAAGGAGAACGCGGAGAGGGCTCGTGAGAGGGCCGCCGACCGCTGGGTCGTGGGCTCTTCCCCCTCCCAATCGGGGGACCGGAGTTGGTCCGCTCCCTCCCCCGGCTCCATGCCTTTGTCTTCGTCTTTCTCGTCGTCGTCGTCGTCGTTGTCCGGGGTGTCGGGTTCGTCGTCCTCGTCGTCGTTGTCGTCGTCGTCGTTGTCACCGTCGTCGGTCGTCCGTCTCGTCATCTTCGTCATCGTCGCTGTCCTCGGGGGAGGGGGGGTTCTTTGGGTCCGGATGATGGTGATGATCATCATCCGTTTGACCCGGGGGGGCGGGGATAGGTAGGGAGAGGTACGGCTCTCCCATCTGAGTCTGGCGTAGCGGCGCGCGTGTGTGGCGGGGAGTCCGGATGGCTAAGTGCGGTCTTGCATATAGTGTTTCCCGGGCTCTCCGCACTCAGCACGCTGTGGGCCGGGGGGATTTTAGTGGGTGCAAGCCCCACACTACCCTGGGATCACCCCCAGCACGGGCCCCAGGGTGTGCGCAAGGCATTTCCCCTCCTTAACAAAAAAAAAGACAACATCGAGCTTTCTATGTTTGTACAAAATATTTTGCATTACATAAGAGGATATGTAGTACATAAGCTAGCATCTCAAATTACATGCATGCGCATTAACATGATTTTAGCAAAGACATGATCATACATATTGCGTTCAAATACCTCAAGTGCATTTACAAGTTTCATTGATAGAAGTAAACTTAGCTATCCGTCTAAAGCTGTGGAGCAAATTATTTCAGTTACAGAGAAATATTTCAAAGCACAAATTATTATGGAGGGAATATCTTTGAAATATTTTAAATCTAATATTGTAAGAAATGTTACGCAGATACTTGAACCAAAATTACCTTCATTATTTTATCCACCGCATCCAGTTGTAGATACAATTTCAGATTCACATGAACTATATTTAATATCACATATCACTGAACAGTATGCTACAATAAGAATATATTCGTATTCAAAAAAGATTAGTTCCAAGTTATTAGGACGGCATGAAACAATGCGACAAAAGTTGCACAAAACTATTCTTTTTTATCATATTTAATGTATAAATATATAGTTGCATGCGCGCCCGCCGTATATTATTCTTAAGCGATTTAAGAAAATGCAGTGCAATTTTTCTTTTAATATTTCTTTCGTGTGCAAAGTATGTTTTTTCATAATACTTTATTATTGTCTTATTTGTCACTATTGTTTCACTCAAGCATGTATTTTAACACATAAGCATGTATTTGATACACACAAGCATATTGTTGCTATACGCAAGTTTACGTTTCGTACACTCTATGTATTATTTGAACAATTAGATATATATATTGCAATACATTATTTCCTTCACACTTTTTATTTCTCCTTTACCCTTTTACTAACTACATTTTCTAATCACTATAATCTTTTATTTCCTATGCAGCTTTTTTCTATTACTATATTTATATTAAACAGAAAATATTTTTGCTCGCAGAAGGACATGGGACATTTCTACAAGGATTCAAATAATGGATGCAAGATTTCCTGATATAGATTTGGATATTTTGTATAAATAAGTGTTCCAATATTAACCCTCCGTCACACATCTACGTCTTTTAAACCCAGACGAAATTTCGTTTTCGTTTTTCTTTCCGTAAATTGTATAAACAGTTACTTTTCACATTTAGCTTTGCTAGGTATTGGATATTGTAGTAGAGATGTTGACAAGTAATTCTGAATTTTTGTGAAAGCCTACAACTTACATAAAAAACAGCGTGGACTTAAAAGACCAGTAGGTGAATCGCTTCAGTAAAATTAACATGTGGGACCAAGGGTTATATTTGTATTATCATGTAATTATCCAGATAGAAATGCTTGATAATCATGTTTTATCATATGTGATCATTCGATAACTTGAATTAATATTATTTAGAGATCATGACGCGATCAATGTGACACGAGTACAAGATGTACGTGAATAATGTACATATATGCGCAATTGTCAGATCTTCATGTTCTAATACAGTCAAATGTGTACTTTTTTAACATTATGATATGAATGACATGTGAGCAGTGTATGCGTATGCATCTGTATGTTGGTTTGAGCTCACACATATCAATATATGAACTCATATTGAGCTCAACATGACATGTTTCTCTATCTGGGATTCTTTTGTAATTTAAAGATATCTATATTGTCATTCATATTTAGTTTATATACATTTCTACATAATATATAAAAGCAATATTATCAAAACTGCATCAAAATCATGTTCTTTATTTTATAGTTGAATATATTATACAATTGTTTAACAATTTATGTGTCTACATTGTAATAAAGAATTATTAGGGATCGATGCATAGTTTTATAATACCTTATTTTCCATTATTTTATCACTATTGTATTGTTACGTCCTAGAAGAGGAGCGCAACTTTCCGTTCGCGAGTAAGGCGAACCTCGTTCGTAACCGCGTGCCAGTGAACGGGTCAGGGACCCGACGGGTCCCTTTATTCGGACACCGACGTACGACGAACGGTCCGTTTTTCGGTCAAGGACGCGAGTCCCTTTACCGGGGATAGGACCATGAGTTGACTATTGGAAGATGGGGTGTGATTTTGAAATTAATTGGTGATAATAACTATTAACAGATTTATTAAAATAAAGATGACAAAATTATATAACGGCACGGTTTAAATTAACAAATTTATTAATAATAGGATATAACGGTGCGGATTGAATTTTTACAGGTTTATTAAGATGAATAGCGACCCAAAATGATGTAATTGAATGGTTTGAACATGACAATTATACTTAAATGAATGAGTGTATGTGTGTGTGTATGAGTGTATGAAATGGAAAAAGAAAGGGATGGGGAAGGGAACGAATATGAATAGGAAGTTCAAGGGTGGAATAAATAAAATAGAAGTAGGAAGATAAAGTAAAGAAAATGAAACTTACTACTGATTCAGGATGAGTTGACACAAGCAGAAGTGAGAATGGCGCAGATCTGCGTAGGTGTTCTCGTTTCCAATATTCGTATTCCGATTGAGGCACCAAATAGTCGTTCACTTATATAAAGAGGAAGCCCGCACTTTTTCCAAAATCCGAATGCTTGAATATATGAATACTAAATATTTGAATGAACTGGAATTATGACGATTTGAATCTGAGTCCTAATGCTCAAGATCTGAATATCCGAGTTCTAAATATCTGAGTTTTGAATATCTGCGTGAGAGTGCGAGTCTGAGCTTTTTCGTTTCCGTGGTCTTCTGTCTCTCAGAGTAGTAGTGTCGCGGAGGCGGATTACCGCGGTTTTTATATCAATGATCGGAGGCAGAAGCTATCAGGGTGGGTAGAGAGATGGCCCTTGAGGAAGGGGTGAATTGGTCTTAGTGGGAAAAAGTCTCAGCCATTAGAAATTAAGGATGAAGTTAAAAGACATCATGGGAGGAGACGGTTAGTTTTTGGACATATGAATATGGAAGGGCTAAAGGGTGGAGCGTGGGTGTCTCATAGTTTTAGATGGATATGATATGATTGGCTGAATGAATTAGGCGCGACAAGCGTAGAAGTGGTGGATTCTTGAGATAGAGAAATGTATACAAGCGGCCGGCTGGAGAAATCAAAATGCCGTAAATCAAAGCCTGAGATAAGAGTTTATAACCATCGGTGAAGTAGGCTTTGTTGGTTAACTGATAGGGCACATATGGTTTTGGATTGGGAAGATGTGAGTTTCAAGTTTTAGAGCAGGAATGCTGTGAGTTGCTTTGTTTTACTTAAGGTTTGTTAGCGCGGAGTTTCAAATTTTTATAGCTAGGACGACGGACACACTTGGCGAACACTACCCAGATATAAACTTTAAACGAAGACGTAGATTTTTACAACAGGGCACTGTTTCCTGTTATGGAATTTTCCCGAATCGCCTTTCATTTGGCGCGACGGCTGTTCGCCAGATGGGTCTGTTTCCTAATTTATATTTATATATGTATATATTCCTGTTATAGTTATATTAGGAGAATATAAATCCGCGAGGAAAGAATTTTTACTAATTAAATCTACAGGACGTAACAGTATTTTACTAATATATTATTTTATTGCAGTAACAGGATTGACAAAATAAAACATTATTTTATTTCGTTTTGTGATTTATACAATCCATTTTTGTAATAAATCGTTCGACAGCAATCGATTCTCTAACTTGCATATAACATATAAGGCCCGGTTGCACCAACATTATTTTGGTTTTAAACAATACTTAAATATGTACCTGTCTTTATTTATGTAGAAAGAAGGATGATGATGGACATATATTTAAGCTTCGCTTAAAATCTAAATAATATTGGTTCAACCGTGCCTAAAAATAATACATATGAAACTCTCTCTTAAATTTAAATGGATTTAGTAGCCTTTTTCAAAGTCACACTATATATGGGTTAGTATTCTTTATCAGAGTCATCTTGTATATGGGGATAACGTATTCGCAATGGATAGTAGCATGTTGGTAAGAAAGAGAGCGCGATACTATTTGGATGTGGTCTTTGTCTTACACGCATGTCCGCAGCTCCTACCAGGCAGCTGTAACGTCCCACCATATTAAAATTCCCTATCTTCTCACCAAAACTCACCATACCTTTTCCTACCCAATCAGATCCTTACCTATCACCGACTAATCCAACTGCAACGCCTCCTACAAATACCTCTGCAATCAACAGGTACCTCTGCCGTCTTTTATCGTTAATATAATATAATATCATTAATACTCGAAACTATTTACTGAATCATCATCTATCTTCTTCTTTCTCTCTCTTCCTTCTACCTTCTTGCTTCGTTTAGTAAGCGATAGATTATCAAACTAAATAACACAAAAATAATCATAAATAGCATATTTTGAAATAAAATTAACATTAACATAGGACTGAAGCAGACATCGACATAGTAAATATATAAAATAGGAAAAGAGAGAATAAGAAAATTTAAGAAATAAATTTAGAGCTAGCTTATAAATTCATTTGTCTCGGGGACTAAGAACGTTTCGTTCGGGCACAGCCGCGCACATATTGGAATGTGTTTATGTTATAGATATCGAGTGATAGCTGTCCCACGTACTGCGAACTAAACAAAGAACTGAAACAAAGATTCGAAGAGGAAAATAATTCCCTTTCTTTCTTCTATTTTTCTTCTTTTTAAATGATATTAAATAATGCCATCATATTTCGCAAATAATTCCTCAAATATTATTGTCAAACCGCCTATCCTAATATATATGCGCTTTAGAATTGTAAGAGGATCTATTCGTATTATTTAACTTTAATGATTACTACGCCCGAATGAAATAATTCTTTTAAGTTTTCAAATTCTTATATTATACCAAAGGAAATCAATAACATTTCCATTCCTTAGTAAAACAATTTTATTAATAAATCAGCCAACGAGACAACTGAATTACCAAACGCTACATGATTAAGTATAATTTTAATTACTAGATAATAACATTTTTAATTTTTTAACCAATAAATAATGAAGGGTGAATTAGGAAAAGACGCTCAATTGATATCCATAGTGTCGGGCTTGGGTATAAAAAGGGCTCGGCCCTTCGCGCGCTAGTCAGTCTCTAGGCAGTCTCTCGTCGGTCTCTAGGCAGTCTCTTGTTAGCCTCCAATTAGCCAACAGACAATCTTTCGCTGAATCTCTTGTTGAGCCAGTTATTAACTACATTAAATTTAGTGTATGAATTTTTAAACTTAACAATAGAGTAATTTCATAATATATATATATGTGTGTACAGATTTCTTTACCTCTCTGCTCTCTTATCATCTTCGTTCTTTTTCCAGAACGCCGTGCTTGAATCACGAGCACCGTTCTTCTTTTCTTTACCTTAAGAGTGTTGTGCTTGAACCACGAGCACCACTCCTCCCTTTTTTCCCAGAACGCAGTGCTTGAACCACGAACACCATTCGCCTTTTTATTCTTCAAACCACGTCCCTTCCCTCTACTCTATTATAGATATTGTTAAAATAAATATTACCTAAAAATCTCTCATGCCGAAAAGAACAAGAGCCGGACGGCGGATTCAATTTAGACGTTTGTTGAAAAGTTATTATAATCCAGGCACGCTCGACCTGGCTGTTTTCAAAACAGATCCATCTAAATCTTCGGTCTCGAGAATAAAATCTAAAATAAAGGGAAATATATTTGAAGTTAAATTCAACACTAGCGAGAATACTATTATTTTTAAACCTAACAGTAACCCACCTCCAAAGAAAACATTCAAATAATAAGGATTTGGACAAGAACAGCGCTGATCCGAAGTAAACCAAACAAATCTAGACATTGCATGTTCTATGCTTGTCCAGGACGTAACACAGCGCTCCTTCCAGTTAGTTATATAGTTCAATCGTAAATCCGAACTGAGAAACCCGAGCAGCACTCGTAACAAATATAATTTACGAGCGCGAAGGTGAAATGACTTCCGTCATTTCGGAAAGCCTATCCTTTTGGACTTAACGGCCAGCAAGATGCCACGGTTCGAAGAACTGTGGCGAAACATACGAAAGTGCTGAGCTCTGTCACGCTGGAGGTAACTAGCCAATATCCTGCGGACGCTTGGAACGAGGAGCTGAGTTCCAAGTAAAGAAGCGATCACGTCGCTTTTGAAATCACCAAGATCCTTGATGGATACTTCGAAAGAGAGTTTGCAAACTCCAAAGGAGACGGCCCACACACCGCTCCTGATATAGCCAAGATCTTCGACGGACGCTTGCAAAGAGAGAGTTCACCCGTTCCACACGGAGGCGACCAAGCCCGCTCCTGAAGCGTGGCAACGTAGAGAACTCAAATCTGAACGAACAGTCGACTCTAACCATAAAAGCCTCAAACGCAGCAGGGTATATATATATATATCGGCACCGCCTTCAAACTTAACAGAGTGTATTCTTGTGGTGATTCGTATCTGTACTACACGCCAAAACTGCACTAGGAAAGCCTAGAGAGGAGAGAGCAGGTCGGTAAGTAAAATCGGCGCTACAAGTCGTACAACAAACCAGACACCAGAGGTTGCCACAATCGGCGTTGGGCCATGCGAAGGCACGCAACTTACGCTCGCGCTCGGTTATATCACCCGGGCAGCCGAATCTTAGCTGCGAGCAGCGGAAACGGTGAGCGCGTTACGTAGCGGCCGCGATCGGCACTAGTCGCTACGCGCGGGACGCCGGCGAGAGCACCGCGTGCTCGCCTGCGAGAAACCGACGGGAGCCAGGTCGTCTGCCTCGCAGTCCCGACGCGACGATTATAATAATACATGTTGCAACAACGCGAATGAATGTCATTCTTTACATTTCCGAACACATATACATACTTTTTCTGTATTACTAAAAAGAACAGAGATATTAGGTGTGAGTAGATTTAATGTTCGTAATATATATAATTATATAGTGTAAAAACTACTCTACTTGTTTGTGACTATGATTATGAATAATTGCAGTTTCACTATATGTTGATTCATTGTATTGTCCCTCATAGGAAGTTGTTGGTCCACACATTGTTCACTTGTCGTGGTAGTGTTCATAATATTGCAATTATTAATGTCAATATAAGTATTATCGATAGTCCTGTCACATATTTAAAATAGTTGAATAAAAGCAATATTATATGAACGTTATATATAAATTTTTATAAATATTTTATAAATATAATATAAATATTTTATAAATATTTTATCATTAATGTTACAAAATATTAATGTACAAGTATCTTCTGATAATTAATTCTTCTTATTTATTTTAAATGTAATATTACACTTACAAAGATGTAATTGCATTTTCATCTTTTCTTGAAATTGTGTCTTTATTTCCCGACAACAATAGAGGCTCAATATTATGTTTTCCGCTTAATAATTCGGTTAATTCCCTAAAAATTGAGTGTGTCTTATATTATATATTAATCATTTGTAAATCCTTAAATTAATTAACACTAACGTTTCGTATGGATAAGATATTCTATTTCTGCCGGTTTTATTATTGTAAGTTCTTGTTTTTATACGATCGTCCAAGCGATTTAAATTTATTTTCTACTTATAACACAGAAACATTGTAACCTTGTAATTGCATTTCTACCGAAGTTTTTTGCCATAAAATTTTTTAAGTTTTGATTTTTTTCTGCGTTACAAGATTAATTTTTTCTTTGTATAAACAAATAAACAATTTTGTACTTGCATCTGACCACTCAAATGCTTTCTGTTTATGCATTTCTGTTTCATTAATATTAGCATACAACTGAGTTTGTATTGAATTATTTTCTTTATTGTCATGCAATGATATGATTATTTCATGATTAACAATGGTATAATATTGTCATTATTGAAATCTATTTCTTTATATGGCAATTAAAATTGTAAGCCTCCTGCAAATTCATAATATTTTTCAATGATTATTTCAATATAACTATTCGAATATAAAAATCAAACAGGTCAAGTAGCAATATGATGTTTAAAGATGTCTTCATAACGTATTATTGAGATATCTTTAGACATCATCTTACTGTCTGGGATAGCAAATGAGCAACGTTACAAGAAATTCACTAACATGTTAATTCGTAATATAATACATTTTTCGTACATAAATTAATGAAATACAGATTAAGATAGCAAAGCAACAGTATATAAATATAAATTTGTAATTATTCACATTTTCAATTTTGGAAAATATTTACACTATGAATACATGATAGATAATCAATCATAATAACTTCAGATACACATGTAACATATCCATTTTCATCTAGTAAAATATTTCCCAATGCATCCTTGTTGAAAGTTGCCATTTCTTGGTTGTTCTCCATTTTCTTACTTTATTATATATTCTCTTTTTATCTATTATTCTTATTTATTAAATTTCTTTTTCATTCTACAATTATTTCTTACACATACGCATTTCACAATTTCATATAATTTCATATAATATATAATTATTATGAAAGGATATATATATGTATAAGAAGATAATTATTTTTCTATTATATTTTATGAATTAATATGATTAATAATATAATCAGTGCTTAATATAATCATATGTATCAGCGCTTCTATTCTGAATTTATAAATAGGAATTACTTGTCATAAAAATATGTAATATTATATATTATATTTTCCCAATAGACACAAATTTATATTACAATAGTAATAAAACACCAATGTTATAATTTTCTATCCAATAATATGTAAATGTAATATAACTATATATAATATATATATATATATAATATATAAATAATATAAATATAATGTATTATATAACTATTACATTATTGGATGAGAAATTATAATATTGATTTAATGTTACTTTCAGGGCCGGTTTTTCCAACTCCTTGGTTAACTAATAGTCAACCAAGATTTAACTAACTGATAGTTAAATCATATGTCTGTTTTTGTTTTTCCTTCGAATTAGACAAAGACAGACATATGATTTAACTATTAATTAACTTACTAAGAGATTGGAAAAACCGGCCCTTAATGTTTATTTTCGCGTTTACTAGTTTATTAACTCAACATGAGATTTTCTAATTTTACAATTGTAACATTCTTTTAATAATAAATGCCAACAGTTTTCACTTAAAATTTATATTGTATTAGACCGGGTCTACAATAAGTGTAATAAGCTTTAAGCCTTAAGAAATTGACTAACTTTATTCGATTATTCTTGTAAAAATCGACTAGGATTGGTTAATTTCTTAAGGCTTAAAGCTTACTACACCTATTGTAGACCCGGCCTTAATAAAATATTTTTAATACTTAAGAAAAAACTATTAAGAAAAGCATTTATTTTCATACTTACTCTTTTGGTTGTAATTATTACGACATTTACGTTTCAAAATTGCCCGCCATGGACCGTTTTACAATTCTTGAATTGGCTTGTACTAGGTCTGTTCTTTTTCGCTGCACTGCTGCACTGGTGCAATAAGTTAGAGTAAAACAAATATATATTTGTCTCACTCTAACTTATTGCATCAGTGCAGCAGTGCAGTGCAACGAAAAAGAACAGGCCTATAAACTCCAGACCTAGTACAGCCAGTACAGTAGGCCTGTTTATTTTGTCTGCACTGCTGAACTGGTGCAACAAGTTGAAGTGAGAGAAAACCTATGTTTGTCTCACTTTAACTTAATGAACCAGTTCAGCAGTGCAGACAAAACGAACAGGCCTAGTGAACTCTTGCACTAAGTTCTTCTGCACTGCAATAACGAGCAACGTTGTTGGCACCAGTTCTGCAATAAAGAACGCTTTAGTGTACACTTTTTGAACTTGTGCAGCCAGTGCAGCAATAAAAAACAAACCTATTGTCGTAATGATAGTCGTTCACTTCGTAAACATAGAAGTGTCGTTCACCACCGTTTTCATCATACATTTACTCTTGTCTTATGTCAAGCTGCAGGACACATGAAGACGTGTCTCTCGAGTGTCTACTTTCGCGATGATTGCTCGTTGAACTTTGACGCGATAGTTCAATGTGACGAGAATCTTTCGTAACAACGAGCACCCCGATATGGCCGCTATCGTCGCGACTGCAATTCGCGAATTCTCGATGCGGTATCTCAAGAACTGAGTTGTCACGAGATTGACTTTGGTCTCTTCTTGAATAAATACACAGGACCGCCACATAGTGAATTTCCCAGGTAGCTTTCGGCGAAAGCGCAGCTTTACTCGATTTTTACATCAAGCATGTATTTAACGTATTTCACATCATCATTGCGTTGTTGTCTGCCGGTGGTTTCACTCGGATGAACGTGTGTCCGTCGTCTTGTACTGCGTCACGATGAGCGAAAAAACGAGGAAAGTAGTAACCAGGTTTCATCCCATTCACGGTGACAACATCGTCCTGCGCGAAGACAACACAGTGGCGATTCGCACTACAAGCTTTGCCAACTCTGTAGCCTTCAGTGAGAAGCCGCTTCAACCTGGAGAGATCTTCCTTGTGGAGATTGAGAAGACGGAGAGAGGATGGAGCGGACACATGCGGCTGGGTCTCACTCTCATTGATCCAGCTTCGGTCAACAATAATCTGCCACAATATGCTATGCCCAATCTTGTCAGATTGGGGAATACATGGATCTTCGCCATTACGAGGAACCAGACAATCTGGGACTATACTGGCTATGGTTAATATCTGTCATTTGTAATGATAAATTTCAAAAAATTTATTTCTTACTAATGGCATACATTAACATACATTGGTCTTTGTCTTGTACCAGTATTCTATCCCTCAATTGTTTTATTTAGATACTGATTAACATTGTTCTTTTTTTATTTGTTATTTAAGATGAAGGCATACCATCTAGAGAGAAGAAACTGGTCACAGATGGAGTCAACGTACAAACATCACGTGGTGTCATTCCCTACAGTGTTCTGAGACCAAATACACTTGGTTCTTCCCAATATATCTTACCTACAGATGCTGGTAGTCGCATAGGTATCATGTATGTGCCACAAGCAGGTTCTGACAAGGCAGAGATGCATTTCATAATTAATGGAGAAGATCAAGGTGTGTGTGGAAAAGATATCCCCTATAAGGCAGGTCCTTTGCGCGCGGTGGTGGATGTCTATGGCACCACAAAACAAGTTCGGATAGTTCAACTTTATGGGGGTGAGTATTGACTGATTGATAATATCACCTTGAACCAACGGCTGTCCAATGGCTGAAGACGTCTATCTCTTTTTCGTTGCTCATTCGTTTCTGCATTTCAGCAGTATCGACCCTGCAGAGTGCATGCCGCGATGCTATATTGCAGTACACGAAGAGAAACGCGGTGAATTTGCTGCCGCTGCCGAGGCCACTGAAGGACTATCTGCTATATCAGTCGCAATGAGAACCGGATCATTCCGTTCACACAAGCGGAATGTGTCGCAGATCGATCTTTCTTTCCTACATCACAGTGATATCTTTTTGTATATGGAACATATGATTATATACATGTTCTGTTACATGGGTTTAAGACTGACGGCGGTATGTCGATTCGTCGTATTCGCACGGATTCTTTCTCTTTATATACATGTGTCTTTTCTACGGATTCGATTGTCCCCGTACGTGAAATTTTTCTCGCGTTTTCAATTGTAAATTTTCCCCTCGGGAAGGGGAAACGGTAAATCATCGTCTGTAAATAGTGTAACAAAATGTTGATCTCGCAGGAACGAATTGAACAAAAGAAAAAAGATAAAAGAAGTGTCTATCATAATCGACTAAATGTGATACAGCGAAAAAATATTGTAAACGTAGCGGACAAACGCCGCTGGAAAGTGATCATTTGTGGGCATGCATATATAACACCATACGTAGAACTTAGGCGTAATATTTTCCATGGTTACTTTCGTTGTAGCGGATATTTTGTTTCTCCGTTTACGAAGTACGATGTAGAATTAAGTTTTGCAACTTAAGCTGTTGTATGGACGGAAGACAAACAATATTGATATAAAAACGTCCAAAGGAAAGCTGTTTTACAAAAAAAGGAAAAAAGAAAGGAGGAAATAAATGTATGAGATAATTTATAACAGACGATAGAGAAAGAGAGAAATTATCGTTGCGGTCGCATCTTGAAAACCACGACCTATCCGATAAATCCACTTTGTATTTCCCTCATCTCACGCCCAGCGAAACATTAAACTGCAGATTAGCGGTCCCCTTAGCAGCGAGCTCTTATCATGTTCGTTGTTTCAAGGCAATACTGCGCATTTATCAATCGCATGCGACAGATACCGATTTTATCGTGAATCTTTTTCTCGTGATTTACATACTTATACAGGGTGTCCCAAAAGTAACGGACCACCTTAATAACTCTTCAGTATTGAAGTTTCAAGAAAAATGATCTGAATAAAAGTTGTAGGGATTTAAGTGAGCTACCTTATGATGACCTTGACTTTGACCTTAACCTCTATTTTCAAGGTCATTTGAAGGTCAACTTGCGTTTTTTAAATGGGAACTCTTATTTTTTATTACACTGTTTTTTTCTACTAGTTAATTTGAACAACTTTTGTCTGAAACATTTTTTTATTTGTCTAATATTTTTTGAGATATTTGAGGAAAATTTGATAACTTTTTCAATATTTAACTTATGATATCTCGCTAACTTTTTGTCGGAAGAAAAAGTGGTACTAGACTTTCTTGTTGTATTTAATCTCAAGAATATATTGTTACAATAGCGCCCTGATTTTTGTTAATTTGATGATTTTGAAATTTCCAAAAGTCAGTAAGATAACAAAAGTCAAGGCGCTATTATAACAATATATTCTTGAGACTAAATAAAGCAAGAAAGTCTAGTACCACTTTTTCTTCCGACAAAGTTAGCTAGTTAGTTCCGACTAGTTAGCGAGATATCGTAAGTTAAATATTGAAAATGTTATCAAGTTTTTCTCAGATATCTCAAAAGATATTAGACAAATAAAAGATTGTTTTAGACAAAAGTTGTTCAAATTAACTAGTAGAAAAAAACAGTGTAATAAAAATTAAGGGTTCCCATTTAAAAAACGCAAGTTGACTTTCAAATGACCTTGAAAATAGAAGTCAAGGTCATCATAAGGTAGCTCACTTAAATCCCTACAACTTTTATTCAGATCATTTTTCTTGAAACTTCAATACTGACGAGTTATTAGGGTGGTCCGTTACTTTTGGGGCACCCTTATGTACATCGTATATGATATACTTGTAAGTATTTATACACTTATAAGTGCGTCGTTCGTTTTATGCAACACACATTCGATGTTATATCTTATCTTCTAAATTAGTTGTCACTTGTATTGCAACGCGTAGGAGAAAGTAAGAACATGCCAACACTCCTCATGTAGCATTCACCTTGTGGGATTAAAAATGACATTTATTTTACACGGCGAGGAGAAACAAACCGAGTGTAAATTTTTCAAGGGTATTCTTGAACACCGTCGAGCGTTGATAGATTAATGCGTGGGCATAAGCGTGATCAGGATGATGATGTACGTGAGGATGACACAGAAGAACGACAACCACTCGACGATAGCGGCGAGATGTCGCCAGGACGACTCTTTCGTCCGCAGCCCGGACCTCGGTACGTCCGAGTTCTCCTCAACCCCTGTGCCTTCGCCAGCTGTCTTGGATTCCTCGTCGTTCTGGAGCAAAAAACGGCCGGCTCTGTTGCTCAAGACGAACATCGTCGTGGACGAGATCCAAGTCGGTGCCTCCATACTCATGTCTTGCAGTTTGCGCAATAAAGCCGTCAGAATCAACGCGAAGGTGGCTAATGCCAAAGATTCGCGGTAAAAAAGCACTGAAAGGACAAAGAGGTATGAGAAACGTAATCAGCCATGTAAGATTGATCGTTAACGCTGTCATTAATGCTGGAACACGTATCTAACTCGAGACGTTCTTATTATTTTGATCTCCAGATATAAATTAATTTAAAGTTCAAAACAATAAAAATATCTAGAGTTAAATGCGTGTCTCGGCGCATTGGTATTTTCATCTTCATTTAAACCTTATTTATCTCAAATTTTTCAATCGCCTTCCGCGATCCCGCATTCCGATCAGTCAATACCTTCCTCTGTTATTTACGATGTGATGTAAATTTTTTAGGTGATAACTGTGATCACTCACTTATATTAGGCGGGTTAACGCCGTTGTACGGCAGCTGCCAGTGCAAATCGAATATGCAGAGTAAATGGCAAATGAAGTTCACGCTCGCTACTCCCATTCGTTCCACCGATCTTGAATCCAACCAGAACACCGTGAGGGTGAGCAGCATCAAAGCTGAAAGAGGGAAGAAGGGTCAGGCTCAAGCTGCGATTTTGTATCGCTTGCGAGCACAAAGTAGCTCACCGACAGCCGGCGTGACGTAAGACGTATGACTGATGCTGTAGTGCCGACTCAACGCAAACGTGTAGACGATCTTCGGGAATGTGTCGTTCGGACAGCATTTGTACTTCTTCACATGCTTCACCGCGTCTATGAACTTCAAGTCCCACACCGAATTGTTCTCGTAGCCGTTCAAGTGAATCTGCAGAATGAAGAGAGCAATGTTGAAGAGGATGATATAAGAAGTGAGTAACATTTATAAGATGAAGAATTACCGCCCGAATGATTCACATACCCCGTTGCCGACCAGGTGGAAGTCGATCTCCTCACCCGTGTACGACCATGAGCCGAGTGTGATGCGGCACTTGTGCTTGTCGTAGGGCCAGTAAGTAAAATCCGGATTACATTTGGAGATGTATTTCACCGCCGGCACGCAAGTGACCGTGCCCGAACTGAAGACCACGCACTCCGTTATGGGCAGCTCGTTTTGATCGTGCGACATGTCGCCACTGAAAGAGATCAGACGCGCAAATGGTCAGTCATGTTTATACCAATTGAAGAATCAGGTAAAAATTGAGCTAAAAAAGTCGTGGGAGAAGAATGAAGCCAGTATTAACAAACTTTATTTCTCGAAGAAATGGATTGCATCTATTGGATTGTAACATCGGCTTCTCTTTCTTCGTTTACAGATTATCTTTCAATGTTGATCAACATGAAGAGTGTCGACTCACGAATTATAGACCGATATATCGGGCACCCAGATCTCGTAGGTCTTCACGTGGATGAAATTGACTCCGTTATAGTCGCTCGGCACCCAAGTAAGATGCAGGTCTGTCCAGTACTGTGCCGATTAAATTTATGTTTCATTAAAGCGCAACACTCGCATAACTAGCAAATTACACAATGTGGACTCACAATCGCCATCCAGCTGTGAAGTGCGAGTGTACCATCGTGTCCATTCTGCAGACAGAATAAAAGATTCGGTAAAGATTCGTTCATTAATGTTACCTATATTATTCGATATTTAACGATCGTAATTGCGGATCATGATTGTAAACCAATCTGTGTGAGACACAATTACTCACGAATTCCATCAGCTTCGGCATCAGCTTCACAGTGACGTTCGTGACTGTTTTATAGTGATCCGGCCGGACGCCGGTGTCGTAGTCGCAGAAAAGGTCCTTCTTCAGACGCAGCAACGGCGCCGTGCTTTCCAGACTCTTGCATCCTCGCGTCACAACGTTCACTTCCGAATCCTGGATAACGAAGGCACCTAGAAAAGGCATCAGCCTTTAGATTCTACCGTACCGTCCCGTAATATGGATTTAATCGAACGATCAATTCGTAGATTCAATGAGTGTTTTCGTCTGGATGAGAGACAAGGTGTCCCACGTACTGGATCGATGCTGCCAGAGAACCACGAGAAGACCGAACGTTCGTAGAACCCGCATCTTGATCGGTAAGAGTCAACGGCTTGCATTCGTCTGATTCTCTTTTACTAGAATAGCGAAATAATTATCAGACGCCCCGTGAAATTCGATCACCGTCGATACCGCCGGACGCCCCCGGCGGGTACCGATACCGTGATCTGCGAACTTTATGCCGACACACTCAGCGACGTGTTAATTCATCGGACTTGAAGTGAACAAAACTGAAGTTTTAAATCGGCAAAATTGTCGCAAGCATCGCAGCTTTTATACGCTGCTGCTGCTGCGTCGAGAGAGATTCACTCACCTCTTCGGCATGATCGGGAGAACATCTCTTCTTCGTAACTCTTAATTGTATACGGCGATTTGGTGGAGAACTATACGGCTGTTCCGTTACGTACGAGAAATGTTTATTTCTATATCGTGTACACGCGGTAATTCCACAAAACATCAACATACCATAGAAATTACAACGAATACACGGTGCGCTCATGCTCTTCGTGCGTCGATTCTTGTGCGAGTCTCGAAATGTCAGCTCCAACGAGATTTACGTTCCGCACGGTGATAAAAATACGGCAATAATCTAATTTCTCTTAGTTAATTGACATTCCTTGGTGATATTTATACACTACTCTGATCGCGAGAGAAAAAATGAAAATCCTGTCGAAGGATCCGCAAGCGCGGTGGGTTTGGAGAACCCTTTTCTAGCTCTCGAGGTCCCGCTAGATTTCACCGTAGATCGCTACAACATTCTCAGCCATAAAATAGCAGTGATCTTTATTGCGCTCCCATATGCAGCGATTACACAACGAGTTATTCACAGGTTCGCTCTGTTATCGATATACTCGTCGTCGTCGTCCGCGAATTTGATCCCGTCCTCATTCTCGCGAATCAGATCGTAGAAGGTCTCGCGCGACTCAGTTTTCATGTCGCTCTCGACCCCGTAATCCGGACTCTGAATCTCCTGCTTGGACAGGCTGATGTTCAGGTTGTCGGTGGTGAGCTTCTGCGTCGTCGCCATCGAGCTCAGACGCGGCCCCGAGAACTCGATCATTGGTATGTTGGTGCAGTCCGACAGCTGCTTGTTGGACTCGCGAGGTTGCGTGAACTGCGTGAAGTCCCGATACCTGCCGGGCGTCACGTGCAAATTCGACAGCAGAACGTCCGATCGGGGTTCGTCTCTGATAGTTCGCACACCCTTATCGAGCCTCTCCGTTGCGTTACCATCCGTGTAACTCGGAGGTTTCGAATTCGTCGATTTGCCGGGAAATTTGGACGTGTTCTCGTCCTTGAGGTAGTGTTTCTTGTCTTCTTGCCCTGCGATATCCTTCGTTTTTTGATTCACATGTGACCTCGAAATGGCGCGATTGCCGGTGTCTTCCGGGTATACCTTCACGGCCTGCTTTGATTTGTCCAACTTGTCCTCCGACCTCGTCAAGACAACGTCGTTGATATTTACAAGGCTACCTTGCCGACTGTTCGTCCTTGTGGCTTCCTGCTCCTGGCAGAGCTCAGATTTGCCGCCGTGAAGGCGATTGGGAATGACGCATTGCGTTTTCTCGAACGCGAGCTGACTGCACAGCGACTCCTCGCTCACACGGGTCCTGGAGTCTTCCAGGATCCGATGGATCGGCAGCAGGCGTTCGTTCAGCCTGACCCTGCTCTCCGCGATGCTGTCCTCAGACATGGCGCTACTGCTCGACGAGTCGTTCTTGGACGACGACGAGGACGTTGAATCCTGGCGATTCTGCTCGAAGCCCGATCTGGCCTCCTCAGCACCGACAAGGTGCCGCATACGCCGGTACTCGGCCGGCGTTAGACTCGCGCCCTCAGTGCTCTCCGGTAGACAGAACAATGCTGGGCTCGTTGTGCCTTGAAAACAATCCGGTCGATCCGCGGACGGACCTTCAGAATCCTCGGAGATCAACGGGGGTATCCATAGGAGAAAAGCAGGATCCATACCTAAGTAGGAGCCCGGCGCGGCGCCGGCGTTCGCGACGTTGTAATCGTAATAGTCCAACTCCATGTCCGTCTCCGGATTGGTTAGACTAAACTCTGAGCCCGGACCTTGGAGCAGTCGCTCGCGATTACGACGGTCCTTCGTCTCCTTGCCGCTGCGCAAGGTGGACACACCCGACAGTGGACTGCTCGTCGATGAGTCCTGATGATGATGACGGTGTTGGATTAGATTGGAAAATTGCTATCGCTTTTATTTCGCTGCTGACGTTACAGTTACGACAAGGTATTATTTTGTCAAAGTATTAAGAAGAGATTATCTTGATTTTGTTTTTTTTTTAATGTTGTATCTTTCTAAATGCTTTGTTGCAGTTGTGACAAAAAATATCACGCTGTCTTTAGTGATCGCGTCTTAACTTTTGTCCTATACACGTCGTTCTATAATCGGATTGAACGTCGTCTACCTTAGACTGCAACGGATTAGACGAATAGCGATGAAGTTTGGCGATGTGCGGGCTGTCGTTCATGCTCGCTGTGCTTTGGCATCTCGTGTCACCCGCTGTCAGGCTCGCCGCAGGACTGTTGGAGCCCAGAGTGCGTAATCTGCGTACAAGTGTACATGTGAGTTGGCTTAATTAAATTACTTGTAGAATTAGAATACATTGGTTCACCTACAGGATATTAGAATTAATTAAATCTTTTACATAAGTTACTCTGATAAAATAGATAATCTGATGAGAAAAATGATAGGAATATGTTACGCGGCACGTAGCGTTATCGTGTTTTTATAATCGCGTGAATAATCGCATGTCGAGCTGATTTACATCGAAATTAGATCGAATCAGATCAGATCGCATCATCTCTGCCAAACGTGTCACACTGATTGCACTCACTTGACTGGCTGAGCATATTTCACTTCTGGTTGACCAACTGCCATCATAGCAGATACTGTCGGCGGCGTTTCTGCAGTGTGCAGTTTGTTCGGTATCACGCTCCTCTCGCTGCAGCCTTCCTCGTTATCTTTGAACTTTAGAGTAGTCGAGCTCAGGCTGGTTTCGTCCTCGTACCTGTTAGAGGTAGATCTTGGAGTACAAACTTCATTGTTATGATATTAAGCGCGAGTTGTCACACGTACTCTGCTAAAGTTTCCGAGCTGTCGTAGCCGTCTTCCACCGCGCAGGGAGCCAGCTTGCGTTTCGACAGTCTCGGTGTACACTTCCGCGGCAGTCCCACCAGAGACGCGACTTCCGAGATCAGTGTCGTAGAAGACATCGATTTCGCTCGTCCCACCATTGTATGCACCGTATCGCTGCACCCTGAATAATATACGAATTCCAACAATCTCACGTCGACGCGCGCGTTTCTCCCAACACGCGACTTTAATTCTTTACTATCATTAATTCTTTATTCACCAGAATGCTCGCTCAGCGTGTCCAAATCCTCCGCAATGTGGTATTTTCTGTATTTCAGCGCAAATTGCAATGCTAGAAAAATAGATATGAAGAATATGAGTATCAAAAGGGATGCTGTCGCCAGGTGTGCGGGCCCCCAGAAGAACCACTGCTCTACAGCGGGGGTGGTGCTCGTCTCCGACGGTAGTAGCGCCGACGTTTTGTTCTTCTCATACAGCTTATCTGGAAAGCAGATAGCCAGAATTACTGGCGTGTAAACGAAGGCACGTCTTCATTTCTTCTGTATGATTAACGTCGGTACTCATATGTATATCGCTTAATATATCACTCACGAAACATGCTCGCGTGACCCAGAAAACCACCCACGCAGGAGTCCCCCGAGGCGATCAGTTCACCGCTGAAGAACTCGAGCAGCAAACTCTGACCCGATGAGTATATCGTTCCAGTCGCGGGTGCACTCTTGTCGAACGCTATGTCCGTCAAGAGGTCGGCGCTCAGCGAGTCGCCGTCGCGAGCGCGGAAGTACTGGCCCGGACACGGTAATTGCGTTTGATCCAGGTGCAGTCGGATCACGTAATCGGATTTCGCCTGCACAAATCAAGCAGACATTTGTTAATTATTGACCGAAGAACTGAAGCCGTGAGAGCTACATGAAGAATCTGATGTAGAAGAAGCTTCAAGTAAATTGGAGGTAAATTTAAGAAAGCATTTCTTTATTTTAACGTAATACAACAGGATATCTGCGTACCTGCAACAGCCAGAAGGAACGGCCGGGGCAGGCTTGAGTGTTCGCCGCCAGGATCCTGTTTAGAGTTTTCTCCTGAAAATTGATGATACAACCGCACCGACACTGAACGCCAATTTGCGCCGTGACTTCCGGTCTCGCAGCCGCTAATGTCGTTCCGTGCCGGCACTCCCATCCTTCGGCGTTCCACGCCTCTTGGAAATCGATCCTGCCAGTGCCGCCGCATGATTCCGTCTCGACCGCTTTTCCCTGGTTCATTTCATTTAGTTTTTTTTTTTCGTTTTCGAAATCTCTCTCTCGTTATCATCTCGTGTTTGATTTTGTCGATATCATCGCATCGAAACTCACCTGGCAAAATTTCGCCCCATATTTCGGCGGCGGCGTGTCGCAGAATCGATATCGATTGCGAATTCCGCCCACACAGGAGCTACTGCAAGGACTCCACGCACTCCAAGGACCCCAACCGGCCGCGTCGTTCTCTGCATTAATAATTAACAATGAGAAGGGTGGAATTCACGACACGTCTGGAAAGTTGAGCAGTTTCCTTCTTGACTCGAGGAATCTAAATTTGCGAAGTGCATTTTCGCTTTCGTGTAAAATCTGTGATACTACCTTCCGTCTTTTTTTTTATTTAGCTTTATTTGGCGCGGTGTTCCTTTCCTCTCAATCAGAAAAATGAAACTTAAATGTAAACGATAAAATTATAAACTATACAATATAAAGAAAGTAAACAACCAATAAAAAATAGTCACTAACAAGAGCCGTCTCTCTGAACGTTAGACTCGACAATTTAAATCTCGGATATCAAATTGGAATGAAAATTACAATAAGCGATAAAAGCACGCATAGCTCAGTTATTAATCAAATAATATTAAACTCAGAATTGAATTCTTGTTCCAGTTTCATCTTTCCGGAAACGATCGCGCCCGTGTGGTTCTCACTCTGACATCGAACGGCAGCATCGAGGAAACACACAACGGAGTTCAGTGAGATGATAAAACTCATCGGTCGCTCGCACGGATTGTGTTATCTCGAGCACTTGAGTTATGGAGGCGGTAAATCTGTCGGGTGAGAGGGTGGCGGTGGAGACGGTCGCTTTTAAACGAGCGCGTTTGCACGCCACTCACCTAGAAGCGGGAAGGTGGGTATGCACGCGAGCTTTACTTCCGCCATCGCGCCGGTGATCGCCTGGCTCACGTAGGAGAAGCAGTACTCGATGAACTTTTCGGTGAAGATATCGCAGTCGAAGTTCAACGAGTGCTTGCCCGGCGCCGCCTTCAGCTCCGCCACATAATGCAACGCGGACGGCGGCGCGAGGGAGCTCACATCCGCCCGCAGACGGCCGTAGACGCGCACGCGATCGCCTTGGAGACGACACGCCGGATATTGGAAGAGCACCGATATGCCTGCCGATCCCTCGCAAGGATAGATCGACCTCGCGTGGACGTTGAAGTTGAACTCATCGGACCATTCCACCTGCGAATGCGAAGAGACAGCGAAGGCTCTTTCGTAAATTGATGCGTTTCATATTTTCGTTCAATTATTATCCAACGATTACTTTCTTGTTATTTTGTGTCATTCGCGTTTTCCAACAGTCGCGTTTCAATGATTTAAGTGGTTGACGATCGATGAGCTTGCTTGTTTTTCAGCTGAACTAGTGTTGCGCTGAAACTTTCCTCCTTTTCTTTCCAACGCTAGTTTATATACGCCAGGTTCATCCTCTACATAGGTGAAAAGCGCAACTTAGTTCAGCTAAAACGAACAGATCTTAACAATTACCTTGATGTAGGCGCTCGTGGTCGGCGCAGAAGGGTTGACGTCCGACGCCTTCAGTCTGAGCGCGTAATTGCCGACCATGCCGAAAAATTCGCACTTTAGCTTGATGACCTTGGGCGAGGTGAAGCCGTTCACTTCCTCGTAGTAGAGCACCTGGTGAAATTGGAGATTAATTTCGGCGCAAGAAGCAAGGTCTCGGCTCTGCCTTCCGTGCGCTCCTCGTGCACTCATTAGCCGCTCCATGAATTCGTTCGCCGGTCTTAACACTTACTTGCGTGCGACTGTTGTTCTGCGGATCGCATGCGGCTGCGGTGGTGCCGCAGTAAATGAGTTGCAAAATATAAGCCGCTACCGGAACGCCGTTGGCAGGTACACACGAGATTCCATTGTACTTTATGGTCGCAACTACCGGCTGACTAGGATATGTACCGAAGTGTTGGGATTCCAGGAGCAGAGAGGGGGTTGGCCACTTTACGTCTAAGGCACTGCTCATCTGCGCATGTATTTCACTCGAGTTAGATCTTCGTGTAATATCGGCGTAACGTTTCTTTCATGCCTCTCCTTCTACTTCTCCCGCGTTCATCTCTACGCGTCAAGTTCTCTCCATATTGGAGGAATAATGCCCACCTCAATTTCAGGCAGCCCAGCAATGGCAGTGTGTCTGGCAGCCACCGTTGAGAACTTCTTGTACTGAAGCCGTAGTGTATAAACTCCGCCACGCGAGAAGACACCACAGGGTATTATCACAGAAATATTCTCACCCCTATGCGGCAGGTTATCCAGGGGGAAATCACCGATCAATTCGGACGTGAGGCCGTCGACGTACAGTGCTCTGAAATTAAGCGCGCGGATGAAGCGCGGTGCTTAATTTCAATTTGAATATCGCGACGACACCCCTTCGCGCGTGCTCGCGCGATTCGTGAGAGAATATCTCGTTCCTTCGCTCCCGGCGCTTTTCTTATTCTTTTATACACCGCTGCTTGAATTTCCTCGAGACGAGCATTCCGCGAGATCGCGTCTCGTGATTGTGAACGCTTTATTATGAAGGCGGTAATACTTTATCCCATTGGAGCGCTCGTTAACGCTAATTTATAAGGGCTGAAGGAAGTGCGTGTAGACATTCAGGGGGTGCCGCGAGACCATGTGCGTGTTTGTGTTTATGGCTTTTTCAGCATACCTGAGCACGAGCGGCTCGTGAGCCGCGGCAGCTCTCCCCTCCTTCGGATCGATCTTCTTTTTCTCATCTTTTCTTGTGTCGTCTGTGACGATAGCCGCGACGCTGCTCGTGGACACCGTGGAGGACTCCGTCTCGGTTGAGTCCAGAATAAAAACGGCCACGTCGCCGGACAAAGCTGTGTGGGACGGGGGAGCGATCACCTTCAGCAGTATCGGCTCCTTCGCGTCTGTCATCGATCTCGCGATACCTGAAACCGGCGAGCATCTCTCTTTGCAATCGCGTTCACGTTTCATTTAATCAGCACGCTCATCCATTTCCGTTCGCAATGAAAACGAGGTAAACGAGACACGTCTGCACGTCGCGATCAGCGGTTAAGTGCTAATTTCACTCGCCGTTGCGGCCATCTTATATATTTAATTAACCCAATTATTACTATTATTATTTAATTAATCCAATTAAACCGTCGATGCGGCTACTACTACCAAGCTTCCGCGCACGTGCGCGCGAGCTAGAAACGAGAGGTGCAAATTTAAATTTAATCATCATTACCGCATTTCAGGAGGAGGATAATTAGTAATCCCAGTGATGACCGTGCGGATGTCCAACTCATGTCCAGCTCTTCATCGATGGCTGCCAGGGCCGAACCGAGATATTTCGGCGCCCCGGACAGGAATTCCGCGCCCCTATGATGCTGAGGGTGAGAAAGAGGAGAGCGCAGTGAGAATTTCGGCCGAGTCATGCGGCCGATCACGCAGGTCATCGGTGCATTTGCAATTTGCAGTACGGCGATATCGCATTCGCTTAGCTCGGTGTATGGAATAAATCAGGGCGAAGTGGAACATGCCGGGGAATTTGCATTGGAATAAGCCGAAGTAAAACGGAGCAGCTCAGATTACGCCATAGTGAGTCGGACTAACGAATTGCAATTCTTGCAAAGCCGCTGACATTATTTTTAGCCCCGGCGATAATCATCACGCATGCGATCGCGCAGGCATTATGTGCTCTGCAAAATGACACAGCGTTCTTTGACCGCACTCGTAATTCAACGATGAAAGGGATGCCTTTGGATAATTAACAATGACAGTTTGAATCGCGTGCCGCTTCGGACGTCTCAATGTTCCTTTTGTTCTAGCCGAGTTGCAGACGGAGGGAACGCAATTGCGCGATTAGTTGAATCAACGAGAACGAACCAGACAGATTTTGCTCAGAGGAAACCGAATTTCTGATTCTCAGAGCAGAGTTTAATTTACAAGAAACAAACATTCTCCCATACGCATTTGATTCGTGTTCTCACGTTAATTCGACCGATTTTTTTCTCCATCACGTAATCATCGCGAGTGACGATGCGAAGTAAGCGCCGACGACTTAGCAGTCTCTGAGATGCAAATAAACCAGATCGCCGGTGACGACGTAATTTCGCTCTGGGCCGACGATCAAAGTCGCGTTTGACGGCGTGAGTGCGGCGCCCGCGCCCCCGTTTCGTTTTTAAAAATCTGCAGCCCTATATAATTGCACGTGTTGCACCCTCGTCGTCGTCGTCGTCGTCGGGGCCGACCCCGCGTCGTTTCTCAGAGGGAAATCGAAATCGGGCATCGTCCTTTCCGTCCGTATCGATCGGCCGCGTCCCCAGTGTGCACCGTTTCAGAAAACGCGCGCGTGCATGCGTCCGCGCGACCGCACATTAGGAAATATGATTATGTATATCTTTTTTCTTTTCCTTTTTTCCTTTTTATCTAACACAGCGTACACGCGAAGCCTAATGGATAACACGGATAACGCTGGCCCGCTCTGAATAATGTAGAATCGTGCGCGCGCGCGCGTGCGTTTAGCGCAAATTACGGCGACAAGCCCCGCGAGCGTAAGCATAGATCGCAGGTTTTAATTACGAGCACTCTCGCCTTGCCTTGTGAATTGCAGTCGCGTGTTTCGAGTGCTCTTGCAAATAATATTGTAAGTTAGCGCAAAAGCTTTATCGGGTTTGTCAAGTAACACAGAACACGGGCTTTTTTGCAACAATGACTTTCCATTTTCCTGCTAATATTCAAATTACTTATAAGAATTTTACAGAGATAAGACATATTTTTCGCTCTAATTTAATACTTCGCGTAAATATTATTTACGGGAAAAAATCTCTATCTTTTCATTTTTTTAAAATTCTATCGCAGAAACGCGCTCGCGAATAGTTTATTTGTCTCACGCGAGAGTCGTGAATAGCGTTTCTTTTTATCTTGCAAATCAGCAATTTGGTCTTCAGCACTGAAGACACGGTCAGGGTAAGAAGCTGAGTCGCTACTCACTGTCTCGTGTATGTCCACCAAATATTTGCGCATATCTGTGAAAGACCTGACTGGTCTCCACAGGGTGCCTCGAACCCCCCTTGAGGATTCTTTTCAACGCGAAACAAAAATTGATCGTTGGACCCTTCCATAAACGCGCTCGTTAAAAGCGGGATTTCCCGTTGTCGGCGTCCCCTTGATAATTTACGAGAGATGCGCGACCTTCTCTCCGGTTGAAATATCGCAGAACCGCGTAAGAATATCTGTGGGACCATACCGTGACGAAAAAAAAAGTATGACGGATAATATTCGTTAGAATTGATAACGGAGATTAAACTGTCGTGTACAGAGAAAGTACACGATTTTCTCAACATTAACGTCGCTTTCCTCGCTTAAACCGCCGTAGGAAGCTATTATTAACGTGCGACTCGTTTCGCGCGTTTGTCTCGCGCGCGGATACTTCGGATGACTGGCGGTGAGGGTGATAGATGATGCCTGGTGCACGCACCCTTTGTGTCGGAATGGCGTATTCGGATCGATTATGCAATTGGAATAATGAGTTCGATGTGCCGCATGCGAGACAGAGAATAACGACCGCGCATGGCCCGGACATGCGTTCCTTATCGGCGGGGGCACGCGTAGTGGTGATTAACATCGATATGTCGCAAAGATAAAGATCTACCCCTCGGTCAGAAACCCGACGACGAAACCGGCTAATGCCGAGTGTCTCGAGATACTTGGAAAGTTCAAATCGCAAAAGACGCGCGGAATAAGCAAATCAGCCAATGTTCACTCGAGAGCGAAGATTCATCGGTCTCTATCAACCCTCATCATCTTGGTTGTCTTTCAGAAACTTGAAAATGCAAAAGATGTCCAAACGACGCGCTCCGAGCACGTAGACATAGATTATTACGAGCAAAAACAATTGCATGTAATTATGTGTGAATTTTGCCTTTTTTACTTAACAACACTTTCGTCGACGAGTGTATTATATAATAATAATTGCACATATGAGACAAAATCCATAAGTGGCCCATATTTAATTATATATGATCCTTTTTATCATCAGCGATACAGATGACAAAGGCTTTCTTAACACCAGATAGAGAAGGAAAGGGTCTCTTTCAGATATTTTTCTGTCTTGCTACCAGTTTTAAGAGTAACGACTGACGATAAAAACCAGTTTCTTTTTTAAACAGACTTGAACGTACCTCGGCTCACGTAGTGACTCTATCTCAACGCTGTCCGCATCTTGCTGGACATGATTAACCGCAGATCAGTCGCATAAGGATAGGACGGACACACAGTCGTCGCTTCTTCAAGCTGATCGATCTCACCTCTCATCGATCCCGCGCGCATCACCCGCGCTAAGTACGACTACGACGACGACGACGACGACGGCGGTGTCAACAATCAGCCGTTTGCCGACCGCGAGACGTTGGAGGGACGACGAGGGTGCGCGACTACTCCGGCGGCGACCTTCTGGAATCGATATCGAGAGCCCAGCCGCACGCGAAATTGCCGGCTCGCCTATCCACGCCGTACAAACACCCTCGCGCGCATCCCCGCGCCGAGGGTTGTTCCCCCGCCAACCCTCCACGGACGCCGAAATTATCGTCCCGTCGCCGGAGAAAGAACGTCGACGACGCTTATGGGCAACTGCTGCAGCGCTGGGAAGCTGACCTCACTCTTGTCTACTTTCCCTTTTTCTCTTTTCTCCTCTTCTTGCGAGCAGATGAGGAGGAGTCCTCTTCTACAGTCTCTCCTCAATTTTTCTCAACGTCTTTGTAGCTCTGCATCAAATTTGCGAAAACAGGTCCGTAGAGCCGTGCGATCTTGCGGATGAACGCGAATAAGAGCGAGCACGCGTCGTGTTTCTCGACCGGGCTCTTCGAGGGTTGTCATCGACTTCGCAACGCTGATGACACGCTGATGACACGTTGATGACACACTGATGATACGCTGATAACACTGCGGCAATTAGATCTTCGGCCTCGCGGATGAAATCTCACGATTTGTCTCGCATTTAGGTAGTTTCCAAGGATCTGGATAAGTCACGACGAGATCTCGACTCGCTAATCTTCTTCGCGAGAGTTGCTCACCGGCGGAGGAATCCCGGCGGAAACGCGAAACGGACAGCAACTGCGTCGGGACGACGCGCACATCGCGACTAAAACCGGGGTCGCCGGCCACCCCTCCACCCTGTCGGGTCGTACCGCCGCCCGCACCCCGATCGTTCGCCGGGGTGCGCCTTGGGGGCGGGCATTATGACAGAAGGTTGGCTTCTATGAATGAATGCCGGATCTATACGGCGCCTTTGCGTGTTTTCGGTGCCAGAAAGACGGGGACAATTTGCCGGAATTGACGATTCGATCTTGCCTCGTGGGACCTCCGGAGGAACGGTGGATGGAGAGACGATGATGGAGGACGGGGGTGGTCGGCAGCAATATCGGCGCTTTTCGTCCACTTCCGAAGGGAGGGCGCCGGTAACTCTAACATGAGAGCGACCGATGTAATTTCGCGCTTCGGAAGCGGCAGGAAGGGAGGATTATGTGCTTTTACTGCAGTATACTCGTGCGGGACATCCGTTTTTTGTCCCTCAGCAGCGTGATATCGAACGTTCCTCAGGATCTGAAAGAAATTCAAGAATGAGACGAGGCGGATTCGTAACTGTGCATTTTCACGAATTTGCCATAATTTTATTCCTGATCGTTTTAATGCACAGGTACGGAAAATTGGAAAGAGGAGAATTTACCGTAGGGCGCGTAAGGAGGAATATTTCATCCAGAGCATCTCGTGCTTCTTCGTCCCTCCGATAGATCGTCGGATAACACGAAGCAAGGCGAAGCGATAATTATCGCGAGCAATGCGTCCTCAAACAAGCGGGGCTTCGAGTACTTAACTTCTCGGCGCACTCGCCACTTCTCCGCACAGCCCTTCGCTGCGAATCCGAAGAGAAAGCGGCGGAGGGTTGAGCACTAAAAGCGTGCTCGGCCAATTAACGGAAGCGGAGCCCTCGTTTCGTCCTCTCGGAGTCGTTTTGCTTTCCCTCCACGTACATATACGTCCGAGATTTTTTTTCCTTTTCCATATTTATTGTCTACCCGCTCGTGGCGGGGGGTGACACGTCCTCTCTTCGCTTCTTCTTGCGCCTCGACGACGACGATAGTACAGCTTGAATAATCGATACTTGCAGCACTTCGTCGCTACACGCACGGCCATCGGCGTCTGCGAAACCTAATTGCGCGCTGTTCCGAGAACAAAGGAATTGGTGGTCTTTATAACGAACAACTACAACGGGGCAAATGCCCCTTTCTCGACGCGAACCCTTTTTTTTTCGACTGCAGATCCGCGCCTCCCGCGGCACGTTCGTAGTCAATTGCGGGAAACGAGTTGCACGCAAATAAAGGGGGAAAAGGAGAGAAAGAGAGAAGATGAGAGGAGTTGACAGAGAAATATTAGTCGAGAAAAAATATCTCGGAAAAATATCTTGGAAGATATCAATACTTATAGTGAGAAACTTCTCTCTCTCTCTCTCTCTCTTTCTCCTTTTGTACACAAAAGTAAAGGGATATAACATTATGTTGTTAATCAGATATGACAGGAATTATGTGTGGGCACTGAGAAAGCTAATCGTGCGACGGAATCTTGGTGGGAGGGGTGTTTTGTATACGATTGTTAATAACGGATAGGAAAGACAATGGGGAAGCGCAGACTGGAAAAGTGAATTAACATTTTCGGTGGTTTTATTAGACTCGGCGTCAGCGTTAACAATCGTGCACAACAGCAAAATAAATAAAGGAACGAACACTCGAGATAACATTATAGAATTTACGCGTAAGAGATAAAGTAGAAACAACACTACAAATCTGTCATTTTTTTTTTTACAATTTTACTGAGTCGCGATCGAATCGAGCTTACTTGCCCGTACGTGTCGTAATCGCGCACACAGGAATAACGAAACTGCTTGCGATAAAATTCGGAGACGCGAGAACCCGTGACGTTCCTCTGTGTGGTTTCAAATAAAACCAATGTGCATCGTCTCATTCGTATTGATCATTCATAACACAAACGCGCGCTTGATCATTTAGTAATAACATATAAGTATATTATGAAATGTAAGCTTTCTTTACGTGTACGAGACGATGAAGCGGATACCAGGCGACAGGAAAATTCATCTACTGATTGATACGTACGCGTGAGCGATGTGTTGTTACAAATTGCAAAGTACGGAATGAAACCAACGGAAAAAAAAGATTGGTTGATGTGACGACACAATTAAACGCGTTTTGGTTCAGGGAAACTGAATTTTTGTTTCTTAAGAAATGAATTTTGTCCTATTTTTAAGCGGAACTTCTCTTCGATCAAAATGCGTTTAGTTAGTCATGTTAATTCAACCAATCTTTTTCACCGTGAACGATCCATGGATCCGTTGGAATGAGCAATATATATTTTCCTATATTATATATATATATGTACGTATGTATATATATATATATATATGTATGTATGTATGTATGTATATATATATATATGTATGTATGTATATATATATATATATATATTATAGGACTCTTACATTAAAGTTACTTCCTTGTCCCGCGACCAAGCTACGTATGTACATCAAAGCGTGAGAGAATATGGCGAGTTGAATCACGATGAAAACACAACGTGTTTCCGTAAATTCTACGTAGTTCCGCAAAAAAATGGTGACTGCCATTTTATTATCACACAATCGTGGTTACTACTATTCTTCGTTACTGCTCATTCGTAGTAACATCAACGAAGCCTCACATCGTACCCGTACTCATTCATTCGTGCATTCAGGAATTCATATTACCTACAAGATAATGCGGTTGTCAACTCCGAACGTCATTGTACAAATATATCCACGTTAATAGGGCTCACATAAAATATTAAAACATCGACGCAAACGCCAGGTTTGCGGTATAACCACTGATGGTCGGGACAGAGTTACGACACAACACATGCAGACTTTTACCAATGACGCTATCGCGAGACGAGAAATTATTGTAAGAAATACAGACATGAAATATGGATCTTGTATGCAAGGTCTTAATCGCAGAAAATTCGATTAAAAGTTATCAAGATCTTAAGTTCTTAAATTGAGATATATCTCAAGTTCTGAACGAAAGAAAAGAAATTAAACGTGATGCTATACGTATTAACCTTATAAATAGTCCCTTCTTTTCGACGATAGTTCTGTTTCTTAAGAGATGTGGCTGAATTACTTTGAGCGAAACAGCCTCTGTATAAAGCATACGTTAAAAATGCTTCTTACTAACCCGATGTGTGTGTATGTAACGCTGCAATCTTTGATTGCCGACTTTGATATAAAAGACAGTTTGTTTTTTTCGTAATTTTTTATCAAGTACCGACGTGATTTTTATCTTTGACGAAACCACCGTCGGAAATCTCGTCGAGCGAATTAACTGAGCAAATCCATGATATCTTGCGTGGATGAATTCGGCTTGCTCGCGGTTTGCGAATTATTAGTTGGCGACATGAAAGGCTGTAACGTGCCGGTGAAATTTAAGTTGGGCTTGATCTCTGGTTGCGTTGTAAACTTCGCTTGTCCTTCCCACTGCGAGTACACGGTATTGTTCTGCGAAGCGACTGGATTCCACATCGATGCGGGCTGATCCGAGCTCCAATTCATGGTTGCGTTGATTCCGTTGGAATTCCAATTCATTGGTCTACTCGTCTGCATCGTCTGCGAGCTTAGCGTCGGAGACGTTATGAATTGTGGTTGCGTCTGATTGATATTGTTATTCTTATTCCAGGACAAGCCAGTAGTGTTCTTGGCTGTGTAATCCGGTGACATGGCCGACCTCGACATGGACAAGTTTAGTTCGTCTAAATTGTTCTTTAACAAAGTCGCCGTCAGATCCTTCGGCTGTGGTTTAACAGTCTGTGACACAGCTTTAGGAGTCAACATGGATTGAGACTGCAATCTCTGATGAGCCTCTTGCTGTTGAATTAATCTAAAGAAAAAAAAGAAAAAAAAAGAAAAGAAGAAACAATCATTCACATACTGAACATCACGAGTGAACTGAAGTTTTCAGAAGCCAGCAGAGACAAACCTGAACTTATCCTCTATGGTTAATCCATTCTCATTCATAGTTTTGAGATTAACATTCGTGGACTTCTCCGGTGTTAAATTAATGTCGCTCAGACTGTTGTTCTGCATGAAAGTGGGCGAAGCTGCTTGAGAGAGTGCCTGATCGAACTGCTGCGTTTCACGACGCACTGCGTCTAATTGACGTAATGCGTCTCGATGCTCGCTGGTCACTCGATTTATCATATCGACCACCAGAGTCGAAAGCGTCTCGTATTGAGACATACTTAGGTTTTGTTCTATACAGAGAGGTAGTAGAAACGGTAATACCTTCGTCGCCAGTATCTCTTTGCCCATACCCAACTTGCTATGAGTGAGCAACATCCTGTAAATACCTGGCGATATAAAGAAAAATCTTCCCATTAATATCCAGGATGAAATAAAGACATATCTTACAATAAATTTCTTTGCACATAGAATAAAAGTTTTATGACATATTACCTATGATAGCCATTAAAATGGCTGGCTCGCCGGAATGAGGAACTTCCTGCAGAAATGGTAATATCTGATCGAACACCAACCAACGATCAAAACTTGGCAACATTTTGGCGAGACATAGCAAACAGTTAACGCGGACCCCGAGACTACTGGTCTTCTTTCCTGGCGATAAACATATTTTCTTCATTCGCGGCAATATGGCATTTTTAATCACTGGTCCCTCGATCATCGTCACTATGCTTGGCAACGCCGACAGGCAAAGCTCCTGGAGCTGTTCCCATTCAGATTCCAATGCACGCAGCAACATAGGCACTATGTCGGTCTTAATGACATCTGTAGGACACAGTTTGAGCAGCAAATTAACTTGCTGCATGAGAACCAAGCTAATCTGTGAAAAGAATTGACATACATTCTTCTGTTATTTCGCGCTTTTATTTTATAGAGAACATACATAAAAAAAAGACTATAAGTATATGTATTATTTTACTGATATTACATAAATGTGAAAGACATGCACTTACCTGTGGCGGATCTTCCAAAGCAAGAACCGGTTTCAAATTAGGAAGAATATGTTCTCGAAATTCCTCCACTTCGGTAACTTCCATCACTTGCAATATACTCGGCAGTACGAACGGTATCATAGGTGGATTAACTAATTCTTTGTAGAGCGCGGGCAATACTCTGTGCAGCACCACTCTGTGCGGCAATTGCTTCAGAAGTTGCGGAAGTCCCTTGTAAAATTGCGATTTTTGGAGATTATCCCACTGGAATAACTTATCCAAGTAATTCAACGTCTTAACGCCAATGTCTGTGAAATACTCAATCTGTAATAATTACAAATAGAAATTGTCAATGGACATCATTAGTTATTTTTCTCTCTCACTTAATCAGTCAAATAACATTAAAAAGTTTGATACATATTGTGAAATAAGTACAATCAAAGTTTTTTCAAGTCAGTATCTAAAAAAATATTACCTTTATGAATTGATGGGCATCTAATCTGAGTTCTGGACTATGACTAAGCATAAGCTTCACAGTATCTCTGAGAGTCTCAGGAATTGGAAGGAGCTTTGCTGAGACATTGGATCCTTTGAGACTTTCGAGAAAACGTCGGCATTTTCCCAAGTCACCATAAGATTCGCAAAGTGTTTGATGTTTTGAGGAATGTATTACATATATCAATATTCCCAAAGCAAAAATATCACTTGGTGGTCCATTGCTGCTTGCTAATATGCACTCAGGTGCCTGGTAATTCAGGCAAGGTTGGACAACAGCTGGGAGTGTTGGGTCATATTCTACATATGACCATGATGGCTACAATTAAGCAAATACAATTTATATTTAAAATGCAATAATTAAGTCAATATATAAAATGATTAAATAATTTACAAATTCCTCCTTAGTATAGAATTTCTTTTATAAAAATAATGCAAATCTTTCCATAGTCTCATTAATAGGTAATTGATTTCCAGTCATTAAGATATATTGACATAATAGATAAATGAGTATTTACTTTAGATTAATAACAGGTTAATAATTTTCACATACCTGCTTGCTATCTGAACTTTGATTTAAGGCACAGAAGTCAAAGCCAAATATTTTCCATGCTCCATGAATATTAATAACTATTGATTCTGGACACAAATTTCTATGCAACAGTTTTACATCACCATGCAAAAATGCCAGACCTTCTCCTAGTTGCAACAATCCATAGCGTATTTCTATGCTGTGCAGTTTGTAATCTCTTAAGTTTGCTGGAGTTGGTTGAGGTATATTCTCATCATTACCTAATATATTTCATAAATATTACTCATAAAATATTGACAGAATATAAATTATAATTAGTTCCAATTTAGTTTCAATATATAACTAAAGAGGAATTTGCTTACCTAATACATTAGCCAGACTAGCAAATACTGGTTCAGTCGCAAATGCAAGACTGTCTCTGGATTCCTCCAGTGGATGTTGCACTGTCAGAATCTGTGGGTGCCTCAATTTTGTCAATTGCGTTACACCACGCTTCAGAGTTTCCAGTACGAGTTCCCGATCTGCCTTAGAGGACCATTTCTCCAGAATGCGTTTTTCAAACACAAAGATTGCAGCTTCCTGCTTGGTAGACTTTTTGTAACCACTGTAGACCTTCCATAGTAACCCTGGACCAGCGCTTGCTACATGAGCAGTCGCTTCGAATTCTCTGGTTACGGGATTACCAGGTAAAACGCTGGATAGTTGCGATAGACCGTATGCTGTGTTCTGAACCGTATTACTAATAGTATTGCTGACTGTATTTCGTAGCTTGTTCAGAACATCCATCCTGTCAGTTGTGACTCGACGATATCACTCGACGATGTCTCCATGAAAAGACACGCGCGCATGAAATGTCAGTTGTAGATATTTCACGAAGGAAACAAAAAGTCTGCTTGCTTCTACAAAGACTGTATTTTTCTAGGTAAAGTCGTCTTAACGAGTACTCTGAAAATTACCTTCGTTATCGTTATGAATCAGTGATAGACATGTAATCGCATAGCGATTATCGGCGACCGATCGGCCATTTTTCCGAAGAGTAGTTCCAAAGTCTCCGCTATGAGTCGCTACTATGCTTACCGACAAATCTAGTAGTACGATCAACAATAAGTTAGTCGGAAATTTATTTTCAAGTGACGTGACTTCTAACGGTGAGTAAAAAGATTTTTCCCATTTTTTAAATATTATCGGAATCACATTCGATACGAAAGTGCGGTAAAACCGACTTATTTGGAAGCACTGATAAAAATACGTCGAGTAAAGTGTTGCTGTTTCGAAGAGTCGTTACATATCATCCGCGGTCAAACGAGTTAACCTCGGATCGTCTGACATCTACAGTTTACAGGAATATCTCACACCGCGAATGTGCACTGTGTAGTTACGTTTGTCGCGGCATAAATCTGCGTAGAAACGAATTTATCATCTGTAATAGACGTCCCGAAACGACAGCAGGGACCACAGTCATCTCGACAATGTGATGATGACGAACGATGGTTAAAGGGACACATACATCCTTTTCGGGTATCTCTTTCAGGTGCGTCTGTGTTCCCACGTATCACGAATGAGGTACATAGCTCGCTTCTAAGTGGATTAAGTGATTAACATTTACCTTTTAAATTGCAGCATATTACACCGTATACATCGGGCTGTGCCCTGTCACCTGGATGTTTCAATTTTGCACTGAGCATTAGGTTTCTGAAAGCTACCAATATGTCTGCTACAGTGAATTTGAAATACACTTGTATAAATGATCTCGTACAAATGGCTAAAGTTGATTATACGAAGAAAGAACCACGTGATGTATACATAAGATTATCTGGTATGCGACAAAGATCTGATACTGCCAAAAAAGAAGGAGATGATGAAACAGCATACATTATGTTGAGGAGATGGTTGGATACAATCGAGTGGCTAAAAAGGCATAAAGATCATAAAGATGGTAAAACAATCTATACAGCGAATATAAGTATTGATCAGGTACAAAGTATACGTTACTACAGTGATTAGCTAAATACTCATAGTGATATTATGCAGACAGTAAAATATATAAATGTTTATATATTCTAGATAAATGAAGTGAAAAACATACTTGCAGACTTGGGGCAAAAATTACAATTACGCTATGATCATTCCAAGAAGTCATCTCGTAAAGATATAATAGAACATATGGAAATAGAGGTAGATGGTACAGAAGCCACAGAGGCCTATACGCCAAGTACAGATATTACTTTGAAATTACCAGAAACCCCAACTGACGATCCTCTGTATGGTGATAATGACAAATTTATATCGTGTGATCAGTTGTATGCGTTACTTAAGGTAGATAGCAGATGCTTAGTCATTGATATCAGACGGAAGGAACATTATGGAAGCTCTAGAATATTGTCTGACAAATGCATTAACATTCCACAATCAGAAATTGAACTAGGGTAAGGGAATTATGTGTTACAATAGCTCTTTACTCACTTGGTACTTGGTGTGATTTCATTGGGAATACTTTTCTTGAATTTGCACAGAATTCAGAATGTGACACCTGAAATCCTTTTCATGAGGCATTCACTTTCAGAATACTGGCCATTCATTTCTCAAAATACTTGCATAAAGATAAAGATAAGCATTCATTTGAGTTATTCAAATATCGATCTGCGCAATATGTGGACGTCGTGACCTTATTGGATTGGAATACAACACCAGAGACTCTGACACCTAGCAATAAATTAAATACATTGAAGGAAATTTTAGAGAAGTGGGATCCTGGTGTGAAGTACAAGGATATCAAGATTCTCAATGGTGGATATCACGAATGGTTAGCGAGGTACCCAGCGTTTGCAACGAATCCGAATGTGGCGGTGCCCGAGTTTCATAGTGTTACGAACGAGATCCTGGATACAATCGAGTATCCGGACTGGCTGAACGAGGACGAGGATGACGAGTTTACGAAAAAAACATGGAGTAAATTAAATAATGCGAAAACATCCAACAAGAAGAATACGGACACGGAGATGGCTCACGGCGACAACAAGTCAGCAGCCAAACACAGCAGGTCCAACAGCAACGACGCCGTTTCCTCGATCAAGCCTAAGAACTTCACTAGTCACGTAACGATATCAATCGACGGCAAACGGTCATCTCGGGGTGACAGTGCAACGAACACACGATTCAACAGTTCGGACGCATTACCTCAGCAGCATCACAAGATAACGTCGAATAAGTTGCCACAGAACGAAGTGAGCACAAAACCGCTGATCGATCGCAGCAACAAGCCGATCACTCTCAAGTCGACGTACGATCCGCGATGTAAGGAGGTGCTGAGGTTCATGAAAGAGCTGAACGAACTGGCAAAGTCGAAGTCGAAATTAGCGAACGAGCTTTTCGACCATGAGTACGAATTGTATGCCCAACGTGATGACAAGCACAGAGACGCCAGCGACGAGAAGTATTTGCAGGGGGAAATAAAGTCTCTGAAAGTCAAATTGGAGGACATGGTAAGTTCATGGGCTCGACAATTGGTTGCTCGATCTACATCTCGATCTACGTTCCAAATTGCGTCAATTTTGCGTGTATGTTGCAGCACAAAATGTACCTCAAGATCGAGAATGAGTTCAACGTATACTCCAAGGAGGAGGACACAATCAAATTTAATCCCACTGACGACAATGAGAAGAAGAATCTTGAACTTAATCTGTCCATGATGAAGACACAAATCAAAGGCATCGAAATGAAGCGCAAGAAGCTGCAGGAGTATGTATATATAAACGAATCACAACGCGCAGTTCTTGATTTGTCCGACAATTCATCGTTCGAAATTACAATCATCGCGTTACGCGTCGTATTGTTGCAGAGATTTCTTGGAAAGAGAACACAGGGAAATAACGATGAAGCAAAATGACAATGACATTCACAAGGAGCCTCTGAAAACGGACGGCTCGTCCATTAACACCGGCCTGGAGCGTTCTTACTCGAGCCCGAATTTGCTGCAGGTACGAAACAATCCCGCGATTACTCTCGTTAAAACAGTCCAGTTTTTGTTTTTGTTTAATCTATTTACAATGGCGAACGCATAATTACCTACGAACGTTTCTGCGTAATTCCATTAGTTGGGGGATCGTAAAGCACCTCAGGTAGATAGAACTTCTAAGCCGCATATATCGCCTCGCAATCAGAATGGATCTATTGGAAATGAAAACGTCAAAGTGTCTCTTAGTTGGGGAAATCGGGAGGAACGAATGACCCCTATTCACGGCAGTGTTGTAAGTACTCAATTCGGCCCAGATTGTACGTGGCCGCTTTACCGGCAAAGTCAAGGGCTTACAGAAATGAGCGCAGCTTTCGCTTTCACTGTCGCGAGCATCGGAGGGACAAGCGTCCGTCTTTCTCGATAGAGATCACTATTAATTAAAGCTAATCATACGGTGACGGGTTCTCGATCTTCCATCTCATGTAACGCTTGGCATAAATCGCGTGCAAATAATGTCGAACTGCAAGTAATATTGTCTTTAATATCGGCATGATAATAATATCGTAATCTAATAATGAGGGGGAAATTATTACTCATCATTGGCGTAGTATTTCGAGTATTTGAATATAGTTGTGAAGAAGAACATCCTTACATACATACATATAACTCCATTTCCGTCCCTTATTTTATTCTGTTCTCTTATTTCTGGAATGCAAGAGTTAATTGTAATTTTCTTTTTTCATTTTCTCTCTTATTTATCTATATTTATTTTCTCGTAGACATATTCAGAAAAGTATTGATACATATAATTAACATAAGTAGAATTTCATTCAAAGCATGCTCGAAATTTCTTAAATGTCTTCAACAGTTCAGAAAGATTCTTTTCTTTATGGTTTTAAATGCTTCTAGCTAGTCACAGTCTTTCGCTATTTAGTATACTTTTGTTTTTCTCAGCTAAATAACTACTTCTGTTTTTCTTCGTTAAATAACTACTTATTGTTAAGTGATTGTAGTGCAACTATTTATTTATGTTATCATATCATTCTTCCCATTTTTACAAAAACATAGACTATCTCTAGAGATTTGACTTGCTCGGTTAAAAAAGAATATTAGGTGAGTATAATGACGTGCCGTTGGATACGCGTCCAATGATTTTTGCACAAAGTTGCAAAGAAACGGTGAAATTTCGCGATTCAGAGTACACGCGCCCTATTGTCACGTGCAATATCGTATAATAGGTAAATGTGCGCACGTGTATAATGCGCGGTGCGACTCAACACACGTGGGGTTTCTCAATCCAATCCGTAAACGAACTTCTACCGATTACCACCACGGCGTACACGTGCCAGTGTTCGTACAACATTTCATGCGCGGTCGTTTGTCGGATCCGGGATCTTCCCGAAACGTCGAAAGTGTTGTCTGTGTCGAAAAGAAATATCCACGATATCTTAATTTCACGCTACAAAGAGACATTTTAATCGGCAAGGAAAAAAATCTTAATTACCCGCGAAGGAAAGCTGAAGCAAATTGGTCTGAAATAATATTATATTTGTCGCATATTAATACGATATTTGCAACACAGTGCTTGACTCTCGGCCGCTTATATACATATACATATATTTACGACAGAATGTTTGGTTGTAAGCTAATGTACGATAATGCAGTCAAACATGCGTACGGGTATAGTGCTTATTATCTTGTGATAAAATAATCTCTTGGTGCGGTACGGTAGAAAATGTTAAATAATGGTGAATCTTCAAAGGAAATTTACTCCGCTGCAATTGTTTAATTATTTTAGAAAGGTGGGATTATATTTTTAAAAAGATGGGCCATCAAGTTGTGTGATGACGCGAAATTGAGAGAGGAGAGAAATGCGCTGTGCGCTACGCATTTGAATTTAACATTAATGTACCAGCGATTGATAAAATAAGAAATCGTACAATACTGTCGCGTTTGGATATATTTTGCGGTCTGCTTCTTCGAGAATCATCATGTTCGGTAAAATGGTCTAACACTACAATTATCGCGCGGAACTAACAGTTTGATGAGCGTTGAACTCGCAAAATCCCGCGACTGCTCGCGAATCGCACTAAATGCGTTTTATCAAACAACCGGGGAAACAACCGAACGTAGTATGAAGTAACAAAGTAGTTACTTCATAGATACATCGGAACAAATATGTTCTAAGGTTTGATTGACCATCGCGTGTCTGTGTAAATAAATCGATAATCCCCTTCACTCTTAATTACGTTACGCGGGAAGCAAATCGCGCAGTTCACTTCACGACTGTGAATTTCGTTCTGTAAGAAAGAATCGACTATATTATATTAGCGCACAGTTATCTCCCCTGGTGTTCACAGATTTTATATTTCAATTTTCACGATTGCGCGAAGTGCAGTTTCTCTCTTTCTCTTTCTCTCTCTCTCTCTCTCTCTCTCTCTCTCTCTCTCTCTCTCTCTCTCTCTCTCTCTCTCTCTCTCTCTCTCTCTCTCTCTATCTATCTCTATCTCTATCTCTATCTCTATCTCGTCCATGAATGTTACGCTCGCGACAAGAAGTTTGCGGAAGTTCTTGTCTTAGACACTGCCTGGAGCAGGCGCTCGAGATTAAGGATGGAGTACTATGTATAAAAGACGAGCGATAAAATTCAGGCGTATCTTCCAACGGAGAGTTCTCATTAACGTACTGTCTTTTGCTATAACGCGAAGGGTGTGTGTTCGCAAAATCATGGTTTGCAAACGTACGCGATTAGACGACGTGTCTCATTAACCAGCGTAAAGCCTGGCCTCCTTGTTACTTACAGCACCCGGGCATAACCGGCCTGAAGAACTTGGGCAATTCATGTTACATGAACAGCATAATTCAGTGTCTAAGTAACACGACACATTTGGCGAAATATTTCACCGACAACTCGTACGCGGACGATCTCAACACGAATAACGATAACATGACGCAGGGCCAAGTCGTGGAAGAGGTGGCCCAAGTTATCAAAGCGCTCTGGAGAGGTCAATACAAGAGCATATCTCCTCACGATCTCAAGGTATTCACTCAGCACTTTCTTGAAGATCTGCCTCGTTTTAGTCTCGGTCCCAACGTCTCGTTCCAACTTTCCTTTCTCTTCATTTGCGTCCCGGCGAATTGGACATCTCTCGGCTTTTACATTACTTTCCACGTGTAATTCTCTCCATTGTTGACTTTCGTTATCAGGTCGCAGTCGGACAGTATAAATTGCAATTCGAGAGTTACGATCAACAAGACTCCCACGAGTTTCTCACGTTCCTCTTGGACTGGATGCATAACGATCTGAAGAAGGTAAGAGTGTTCATTGTGAGAGAACGTAAGGACTAATCGCGCAAATATCAGAGCTCTTCTTTCGCTCAAGGAATCGAAAATGCCGATCGAAATGACCAATGCGGAAAAAGAATGGGACAAAGCGATGAATTCTCAGAAATCTATAATATCGGACTTGTTTTTCGGCCAGTTGAGATCTACCATCACATGTTCGTTTTGCAAGCAAGCGAGCACCACATATGAGACGTTCAACAGTTTAACGATGTCCCTGTCTCATTCCAATCGATGTACCTTGAATGTGAGTATATTTCGTGAGAGGAATACACGATCAGATATTTGTGTAAATATAAATATTACTTATATAAAAATTACTCATATCGGGTATTTTAAGATTCTTACATATACAATACAATACAAATAATTAAATAATTAATTAAGTAATCTAATTAAATAATAACTAATAAATTAAATAAGTTACGTACTTAGATGAAAAGATACACTGTTTTCCGTGACGGTTCTCACGTGTAAACACTTGTTTCTCTTTGTCGTACCAGGATTGTATGGAAAAATTTGTGACGGGGCAAAAGGTGATCGGATGGAAGTGTCCCAAGTGCCAGACACCCCGCGATGCGACGAAGAAGTTCGACTTTGTCAAGCTCGCTCCCATCGTCGTGATTCACTTGAATCGCTTCGCCGAGAGCGGCGGATGGCTAGAAAAGCGCAACACCGCTGTTGATTTCCCTCTCACAGGATTCAATCTGAAGCCTTATCTCGTGTCGGAAAACCCGACGGCGATGTCGAACAACATTCGCAATTACAATTACACCTTGTATGCGATGTCTAATCACTATGGGACGATGGAGGGTGGTCATTATACTGCCTTCTGTAAAAACGCCACTCAGAATAAGTACGTATAACGTTTGTAAGATGATATAAACCTGAGCTTTTAAAAAATGGATTTATTAAAACATTGGTATAAATTTTACAAATATTTCTTCCAATTTTATTATTTTTTATACGTTTTACAGAGGCCTAGCATTTCTAGATACCGTATCTTGATAGTGGTAATTATAATCGTAATTGTTACATATGTTTGCAGATGGTACAAGTATGACGATCAAACCGTCACAGAAGTGTCGCCGAGTCAAGTCAAGTCTCAGAACACGAGCGCCTATTTATTATTTTATACATCATTTCCGAACATGATCATGTAGTATGAGGATGCAAACGGAGAAACCAAGAACCGATCGTGACGCAAGTCTCGAAAGTCTTCAGCGTGATATTACTTAAGAAAAGCGTCATACAGGAGAACATGATCTTCAACGATTTGTAGATATTAATATCGTTGGTCTTGAGTAAAAAGTTATTAACTGACATCGTGAAAATTTTGAAGGAGAGAGAAAAATTTTTTCGACAAATTTTACCGGCCTTTACCGACAATTCTGTTGCGTAACGTTCCACTGCGTTTTCACTGCAATAAAAGGAAGAGGGAAAAAGAAAGCCGCGAGAAAAAGGCTTTAAAATGTCAGCTAATTTCTTTTTCCCTTGCAAACTCTGACGAGTCCGTTCATTACGAGCCATCTACCTCAAACTAGCCGACCGAAAGCAATGGCAGTTGTTAACTTTTTTCGCAAAACCAACGAGAGTTTGTACGATAAATCCTATGCGCGAGTGAACGTGTAGGGCTGTGACGGTATTAAAAGCTTTATCGGTGCTGGAATTTCATTAAGAATATGTAAATATATGTAGGACGGTGGCAATTTATCTATATATTTCCATTACGGTCTGTCGCGCTAGAGAGGATGCAAAACTTAGTTGTGTTCGAGAATATTTTAATATGTTATATAGCTTCGAAATGAAAATATTGTACCAATGTATCTAGATATACGCATACATATGTATTAGACAACATTACGTTCCAGCAATGTTATATTGCAATATCGTGTCCCAATTGAATTCTATTATTTTCTTTTTTGATTCGTTTGCCTTTGGTATCTCGAAACGAAGCGGAAGGGACCATAGTTCCTTACCTCATCAGCGTCGGGGGTTCGTGTAAGATTTATCGCAGCCGAGGAAGAAGGTTTGAATCCGAAATCAATCCTATCGTTTGTAAAACGTCGTATTTTGCACAAATCTTCGTTCCAAAGGTCGTCAGCCGGCATAACTTTAGACTGACGTAAATCATAGATAGGCGGCACACATCGTGTTCACGATAGATCGATTAGCAGCGTTAAACTGCCTCCTTTGCTGCGCTGCCAGTATCTTCGCTGCGACGCGATCGTTTTGTCACGTTGAAACGATGCGCTTCGTGGAAGATCGTAAGCTTCTTAATGAAACGTAAATAGGAATACCGTTACGCGCCTCGGCTTCTCAAGCAGTCCTGAGGAAATCACGTCGTGATTATTCGCCAGCGTAATGTTTCGGTATCTATAATGTTGAGATATTTTGTACATATATATAGTGACCGTATTATATACCAGATTCTGAAAACAATTCGCAGTCGCGAAGGCTACGGAACAACGGAGAACCTTCGCTAAACCTTCTAGTTTATTGCGCGACTCGCGATTGCCATATACAGTTATTCTTTATATATTATTCACGATATATATAATATACACCCTTAAGCGATAGCATGTTGACGAACAATGTCAATAGCAACGTTGCGGGCAATGTACCTTTCCCTTTCGTTCGCCCTTTCTTCGATAGCAAATGTAGTGTTGCGATGTCGTATGCTTTCTCATCTCTTCATGTCGTGTCTCCCGGATTACGTTCGGTTTTATAATTATACGATATTTATTAAAACGATCGGTATATATGCAGCGTCCTCAAGGATGCGATCTGACCTGTCGGGCCGTATAGCATTAGTGAGATCTTATTTTGAGGATTCACAGGATGTTGCGTTGTCATTTAAGAGTCTCGCAATGCTAATTAACATTGAACACGATTTCAACGAAATGTACGAATTGTTCGAATACTGAGATACGAAATCTCGAACTTCCGCAGGCATGTAAGAAATAAAAAACAGAATGATTATGCTCACGCAATTTTTCACATGTATTTGTGCATGTGTTCGTCAATATCCAAACCGGAGGTTCGATTTCGCAGATACAGGCACTTAACGAGAACGGTCGATAGTTCACTTTAATAAATATGAAACCATTAATACGATATGCAGCAATATTTCGTTAATTTTCTCATGAATCTATTTGCCATTTCATCCATCACGTGGGGATGTATCGAACAATTTTTGCGTTATTCCTCTGCGTCAATACGTCTCATCGCGTAGCCGCGTCACGACGTCACGTCGTTGCATTTTGTAATCGGGCGATGCTTATGATGAAATAAATGCGTTGCCTGAATTCGATTTCTAATTAATTTCGCCGAAACACGCGTGTTTGCGTCTCGGTGTTTTTACTATAAAATGTATATACATATAATGTGTGTGCGTGTATAAATGTATATGTATGAATGTATCCATCAAATATGATAAATTTATGTTCACTACTTTGGCAGTCTTTTGCAAGTTCGCACATCTATATTAACAACGTCGGAAAATGTCCAATAATTTTAACGTTCTCGATACAAAGATATCTCAGTGTTAAAAATGATGAAAAAAAATACAAGACGATTTATCCTCGAATCGTTAGCAAAAGTAAAGCAAAATAAAATCGCGCGAACACTTATCGTCCACATATCTCCACATATCGTGCTCGTTTATTCGCGCCGACAGCAGTTCGACGTGCCAGCCGGTTGTTATAACATTAACATTCAAGTGACAGCCGCCCCGGGGCGGAACCCCCTTTCGAAACTGCCAAACTTTTCCGCGCCGTTAATAACTTTCGTGCAATCTGTAGCTCAATACATGTCCGTGCGCGCACGATCCGCGTCTTAATCGGAAACTTCTCGCCATTTTTTCTCGGCTGCGCGCCACCACTCGTTAAGACAATTTATATTCTTATCCTTTAATGCGACTAGCGCGCAGACGGGGGCACCCTCTCGCACCCCCGTCGTCGACGTTGAGCGCGCGCTCTTGGCCCAACTTTTTCCATATTCCAATTAGGAATATTTCCCATTGATTTAAGGCTTGGCGGCCGTGGAAGGCGGGCGAATATTAACGGCTTAACACCGCGATAAATTTACAATGCCGATATGCCGCGAGTGTATCCCCCAGCAGGGGCCGTCGTGTCTCCCTCTTTCTCGGGAGAGAGGGCCACCCTCGACGGAGCAAAGGGACCGCTGCTTTTCTCTTTACGTATGCCGACTTTTACGAGTCGCGAAAACTCTCGTAACATTAATCACCGTACTTATCTGAAATCGATAGAGCGGCTGTAAATACGAGTGCACGAGCGTTACCGCTTGTTTACGAGTGTTTCTTTCGCTTCCGAGCGGCCCTCCGACCGGTCTGTGCGACGAAGAAATTTTTTAACATCGGTCTGCCAAAAAAGAGAAAGAGAGCATGTGTCGGCGAGATGTTAATAGGTGAGTGTGCCGTGTGTGCTTCTGAAACTAATCTTCTTTCATTAAAAATGTTATTTTTTCTCTGTTTGTACTCTTACTCATACTTACTTAACATACTTATATTTTTCGTAGTGAAAGCGAATGATTTATTGCGAAAGTAATTCGAAGAGAACAGTAATAAGATAATATATTTTGACTTAATGATACGAGTAACTTACATATATCAGTCGATTTTACATAAAAATTTGGCATTAAATTGTTATTAAGAATAAAATTAGGTTATAAATTCGCAACTAAGAACAATCGAGAATCGTTGTCGGATAAGTAGAAACCTTCAAATTTAAGCCACTCGTAAGTCGTTGCGTCACCTACAGATGGTGCCTGAAGCAACGTTTCGTCAAACGTTTCAAATTCAAAAAGTAATGCAATTGTAACGCATAACGTTCGCGCACATCGTTCCTGTTTCGACATGTTCTCGTTACGCTGAAATACGCCGCATTTCTGGGTAAATATCCGATAGTTGAGTCTCGACAGTAGCTTCTTCCGTGAGATAAACGTTATTTTCGATTCGTTAAATGGTAGCATGAACTTCCGAGCCCGAGCTCGCGAGATTTTTCCATCGGAATGTTGCGAACGCTCGGGTAGAGTTTCGGAAGGTTAACGGAGCCATCTTGTTGTAATAAAAGCTTCGTATTCCGGTAGGAATATTATGTTACAGCGATTATTGCGATCAAAATAGGACATATAATTCGATTCATTTCGACAACTGATTAAGTAGCTAAATTTTCTCTTTCGATTCTACTATTGACATGACGTTGCTTGATATATAATCGTTGCATCACCTACAGATGGCGCCTAAAGCAATGTTTCGTCAAACGTTTCAAATTCAAAAAGTAATGCAATTGCAACGCATAACGTTCGCGCACATCGTTCCTGTTTCGACATGTTCTCGTTACGGTGAAATACACCACACTTTTGGGTAAATATCCGATAGTTGAGTCTCGACAGTAACTTCTTCCGTGAGATAAACATTATCTTCGAGTCGTTAAATGTTAGCATGAACTTCCGAGCCCGAGCTCGCGAGATTTTTCCATCGGAATGTTGCGAACGCTCGGGTAGAGTTTCGGAAGGTTAACGGAGCCATCTTGTTGTAATAAAGGCTTCGTATTCCGGTAGGAATATTATGTTACAGCGATTATTGCGATCGAAATAGGACACATAATCTGATTCATTTCGACTAGAACTGATTAAGTAGCTAAATTTTCTCTTTGGATCCTATTATTGACATGACGTTCAATATATGCCGTGTGCCGATACAAGGTAGTAGTATAAAACCGACGCTAATGTATTTTCTGTTTACAGGCAGGCAGAAAAAATCCACTATTCCGGAATTTGCAGATCTAGAAAAGGCACAATCTGGTCGAGAGTAAAAACCAGGCAGCATCATCGAGCCATCACTATTATTGCATCATCATCGGTAAGTTATTGCTTTGAGTTTTTTTTCGGACTCGCATGATTTTGCTTCCTTTATCGCATAATATTGATATCGATAATATCGATACTAATATATTTCTTGTACTTGCGGGAAAGATAAAAAAGGAAAAAGATTCCAAAATTCGCTGAAGGGATCATCCAGTCTAGGACAGAAATCAGGTAGCATCATTGGGCCACTCCCATTGAGCCATCATTATTATTACATCATCATCGGTAAGTACTTTATTACTTTGAACTTTTTCAAATTCGCTTTTGCCTTCTTTATTGCTCAATATTAATAATAAAATCAATATTAATATATTTTTTGTGTACCTGCAGGAAGGATGGAAGAGCAAAGAACTACGACTCCAGAACTTACAGATCTACGAATGGGACAATCTGCTTGAGGACTGGAATCGAACAACATCGGGTTACTTATCGCACTTTTATCGCCATCGAGCCATCATCACTGAATCATTATCGGTGAGTGATTTATTCTCGAGCTTTCTTAGAGTTGCTCAATTTTATCTTCTTTGTCGCTCAGTATAATCAATCTATTTGCGACACAACTTACGTTATTCTGAAGAAATAACAATTTAATTTAAGCGAGCTTTGAAATAGAAGGAATGCGATTTGCCCTTTCGATTATTAATGTTATTATTATTATTGGTGTTATATCACAATGATGATTTGTTTTTTATATACGATAAATAAATTCTTATCAAGTGTCTCGCGAGATTCTTGAAAGTTGTCGAACGTATGTGTATACCTTTCGTCAAAATGATTTTAACGCAACACTGAAAATCGTGCACATAATATAATTGAGGAGGAGGTAGCATGGGCAAATGAAGCAAACGCATTACGAGATATATAATATAATTCTACAATTACCATAATACGTGTTCCATTTATTAAATTGGAGATATAATACACAAGCGATAGATAACACGTATGTATAATTTATACAATATTTTATACAGATTGTCTCTACCTTCAATTAACAATTTACCTAGTGTACTGTACAGCAATGTGTTGTTGGATACTCGATAAACATTATGAAAAACTTAGGATGCGTTTAAGAAACGCTCGATCGTTCGTTTAATCGCAGCGCGCGAAGTAGCATTCAGTTTTTCTCTCCTTTCTTTGTCCGTGTTTGGAAACATCTCTCGTTCACGGATCCCTTAAATCAGGGTCCTGCCTGTTGCTGAGCACAGCGATTAACGCTTATCAAGGTCTACAACTCATATTCTCGTCGTAAGTTCAGCTAAAAACGGCAGCCTGACTTTAATCTCGCTTAATATACATTTTTATATAAATTAATTATTTCATTCACGGAATAATTTATGTCCTTTTCTTGTTACAAAAATAAACTTTTTAAACTAAAAAATAGAATAAATTCTTTGGAATAAAAAATTTCTAAGAAGTAAATATTAAAGAAACTTGATATTCAATTTTTATATATTACATTTAATATCTAATCATTGTGCGGAGAGTTTCATATATAGCAGGGATTATTTCGATATATATATGTATATTGAAACGATATTTCTCTTTTATATTCATTGGGATATACAATATATAAAGCCATGTGAGGAGGCCTTAGTATAGTTAGCAAAGCGTATTACAAAGTCTCCACTTTACACTTCACAAATTAAAGCTTCGTGTGCACTATTAAAATAACGCTTTTATATTGGTCGAATAAAATGCGGAATCAGGCGACCGTATTTAGCGCTAACCTGCGGCAAGAATGCAGAAGGTTTGCTGTTTTTAGTTTGCACTTTTCGTATTTTGTTTTTTTTTCTTCTCTTTTTCTCTCTCCTCCCCACTCTCTCTCTCTCTCCTCCCCACTCTCTCTCTCTCTCTCTCTCTCTCTCTCTCTCTCTCTCTCTCTCTCTCTCTCTCTCTCTCTCTCTCTCTCTCTCTCTCTCTCTCTCTCTCTCTCTCTCTCTCTCTCTCTCTCTCCTGCGAATCCCGAATATACACCTGTCTCATTTTAAATGCGGAAAGTGCAAGAAAGTGCGGCTAAAAAAACAGACCAGGAGTTACGAGTTTAGACGCACGCCACGTGTGATTTATTTGTGTTGAGTGTGTGTATGTGCGTATGTATATGTGTGTGTCTGTGTATATACGCTATATTCCTATTCCTCTGCATTTTATTTTAGTCTAAACAGACGATATCTAGTTATTTCACTTACGCGCCTCTAGAACCGAACGCCGTATTAAATACGTTAGATATCACATTCACGTTTACCGTTTATCTACATAATATACAAAGTCCATTTGTGTCGACTCGTCGTCGATCTCGTCGTAATTCGCCAGCATAGACGCGCGTTTGCGATACGTAATTTTCATGATGCTTTGCGATTCACTTCGTAAAATAGACGAAGTCGTTAGTTCGATCGATTGAATTATCGTTCTGCAATTGCTTCAACTGCAATCATTCAATGCTGTTCAACACGCGATCAAGGAATCGCAGAATTGGCAGAAAAGTACAAAAAAGAAGACGTCTTGAAAACGAACTAAATGGTAATATATTCCACAAACTGATAATACTATTCACATAGCAGCACACACACCGGGGATGAACCGAGTGTTAAACAGCATTGTTGACGTAAAATTGACTTTTCTTCGTCGTGTCCGCGAATTTATAAAGTTCAAACAAAGTGCTTTTGGCCCAATCTCGCATAACTTACCACGGAAAAGAAACAAGATCATCGATCAGCCCCGTGAAAATTTGCCGTTTACGTATAATCATTTATTTAACTAAGGGACGAGTAAGTCTCTCGGCACAATTTTCTCAATAATGGTCGACTAGTTAGGAACGCTCGTGAACGTACAGATTGCCCTTTGGCCTCTTGGATTTATGGTTATCCATTAACACCTTCTTGACGGGTGACGTCGCGTCGCGCGCGTTGTTTGCCATATTTGCTGTGCGTTGTTTGTCGGATGGATAACAAAGCCCCCGGCGACTAATCTGCCATCGCGTAAGCAGCTCGGCAAACCCTTCCTATCGATTCCTCCGCGTGCTCTCGCAGCGAGCGACTAAATATGCGTACGCGATCGAGAGATTTCGTCTCGTGTGGGACGTAACACGTCGTCCTGGGAAAGTGTTAACAATGTTTGCGCGTTGCTGTTATTTCCCGCCAAACACAGTGCGTAACGTCGCGTCGTGATCGCGGCCTAAGCGGCGAAGTCGCGATATCGAGTCGGTGGTGCGGGTCGATAAACGCTGTGGTCATTCGCGAAGCAGTTGCGAGGTCTAACGCGTGTCTTAGATACGATCACAACTCGGAATTTCGGAATGTGCGAACGCATATTCAATTGTAAATTGCTGGCTGACCGGCGGAGCCTCTCCGCGCTTGCGAATTGTCGTCTCGATCCCTGAAAAATCGGTGTACTCTCTTCGAATTTTCGACACTGGACATCTCGAGAAGAGGAGACGGGCCAGATGTAGACCAGACTCGAATTGAAATTTCGTTTGGGATGATGGGACCCACCTGAAGTTAACTCGAAATCTCCTCTTTTCTCTTCGCAAATCCGTCTCGGCTCTTTAATCGTTCGTAGCGGCTTAACAAAAATTTACCCGGTGAAATCGAGACAACGGCGCGCGTCTTCAAGTATCAATAGCGCCTCGCACCCTTAAAAACTGCCAAATTATCCTCCGCTCTCCGCGCGATTCAAAGGAGACTCGCTACCTCCCCGGACCACCACCTCATGTTTCCGTCACTCGCGATTTCGCGTTAAGCGTCCGGCTAAATCACGAAGAGAGACACGCGGAGACACTCGCGCGTACATCCGCACACGTACGTCGCCCTTTTTCTTTCTCGTTCTTTCTCTCATTCTCTCTCTCTCTCTCTCTCTCTCTCTCTCTCTCTCTCTCTCTCTCTCTCTCTCTCTCTCTCTCTCTCGCTCTCTCTCTCTCTCTCTCTCTCTCTCTCTCTCTCTCTCTCTCTCTCACTCACTCTCTCTCTCTCTCTCTCGCTCTCGCTCTCTCTCTCTGTCGCTCTGTCTCTTTCTCTCTCCAGCGTTCGGTCGTTCCGCGATCATTTCGAAGCGGACACGCGCGTTCTCCGAACAGAAGCCGCGGGGAACCCCGGGACGCGCCGCCCCCGGCCACGCCTTATCCTTCTCCTCTGCATCCCTCTTTTCCCCTTTTTTCGCACCCCCGCGTATCCCCGGGCCACCCCCGTCGGCGGCCCTCAGTGCCTGTACTGCTGCTCGAGCTCCCTTCGCAGCCTCTTCGCGGCGGTCTCGCCGCCACCACCGCCGCCGCCGCCACCGCCGCCGCCGCCGCCGCCGCCGCCGCCGCCGCCGCTGCCGCCGTCGGCCTCCGTGTCGCTGCACCCGTCCTCACCCTCGGCGACGACGCCCTCGACTTCCTCTTGCCGCCGTTTTGCCGTCGCCATCTCCGCCGCGTGTTTCTTCCGCCACTTCGTCCGCCGATTCTGGAACCACACCTGGAAATCGAAAGTCGGGCGCTCGCATGAATGGTCACACGACAAAATACTTTGCATCTTCCATCCTCCGGTGCACCCGTTAATATCGCACATGCGGTCTGCGTCGGAGAGTGCATCGGAGGTTTAATTTATTATTACAGAACACGATCCTTTCGGCCAGAGTTTCCTCTGGTATTTTCACTGTCGAGGTATAAATATTAAACAGATGGAAAATAAGTTTCGGATATATTCACGAGCACATTGGTGCGTCCGACGTTTGACAACGATGAGACGCCGAGTCGAAAAGAAAGAAAGAAAATCCCTATTATTTTTTTTTACGCGAGACGCGCGCGGGCGAATTGCCGGAATTGCCGACTTTCGACGCCGACGTCCTCCCACAACGTCCACCCGCGGAGAGTTCATTCGACTTCTCGATTAATACGCCGAGCTCCACTCTAACGGGCGTCTATAACATTTGAATTAACGGGCAAAGGGCCCGGAGAAAATTCATCGACTGGCCCTCCCTCTCTCCTCGCGGAGACGGAAGGTGGAGGCGGGTGGAAGGGAGGCAGGAAACGGTGCTAACTTAAGGTGCCCCTCCGCACCTATAAAACTCGAGATACACAGTAGGAGTCTGTGTCCCCGCAACAATGTATTTAATTAACGTAACGGGTGTCAGGGGAGCACGGGGGAGCTTCACCGTAGCGATTGCACCCACAAACCACCCCCGATCCATGCCAGCGTGTGGCCCCCGCTAAACTCCTCCTCCTCCTCCACCTCCTCTTCCTCCCTCCTCTAGCCACCCCCGCTGCCGCCACCGCTACCGCCAACGCCGCCGCTCTTCCGTATCCAACCCCAATCCGCAGGCTTGTTCAATGGCCGCCAAGTCGAGAGCTTAAATTAAAGATATAAGCGTCCCGGCGAGCGCGGGCTCGGGCGCGGGCGCGAAGCGGTAAACGAATTAAAAAGTAAACGGCCGACCGTAAAAGTTAATGGCTGTTCGGATGAAAATTAAAATACTCGAGGAATTAAGATAACGGAGAGGCAGGCGAATGGACAATCTGCAGGGATTGACTGCAGCAACGCCGGACGTAAAAAAGCCGTTCGGCCCCGCAACGAAAGTCCAATTTGTATTTCGTGCTGGTGCTTGGCGAAGTGAGGGAAAGAGAGGAGGGAGATGCGAGGGAAAAGATAGCTGGTGCGTTTAAGTTGTCGTTAAATACAGTCGCCTGATAAAGGAAGGACTTGTTCGCGATCATTTTGTATCACGCGACGTCTAAATCGCGTAATGTCGTGCATCGCGCGTCTACACTTAAATTAGGAAAAGTGAATGTTGAAAAGAAAACGTGCGAGAGTCTCGTGACAAGCGAGACGAGCGTAATTGGCAGAAGACACGCGAGTTCGACCGCGAATTCGTATATGCTCGGTACAGGATCTCTCGCACTCGCGATAAACAAGATTCGTCCGTCGACAAGGACTCGCAATTTCCGTGATACCGTTCAATGGATCGGAGAAACTGAGGACAATCAAAATTGATGCTAAGTTTACCGAACTCTCCCTCGGGATCGTGCGAGCCGACCTAGTTTCTCTCTATTAGTAGCGACCCTGTTTACTTTGCTAAAGCAAGCTTTAAAGACGATAAAGCATTTCATTAAGCCCTTAATAAATCCGAACGCGACGTCCCGCTTTTCCAGGAACGCGGGCGCCGCGTCCCGTCGAGCGGAAACTTGTTACGCGTTCCATTTCCAAAGTAAAGTTGTTAAATATACAGTTCATCGAAATCGCGTATGGCGCTCGCAACAGATTCCGCGATTTCTTATCTTCGAGCCATTAAAATAAAAATACCAAAAAAAGAAAAAGAGTAAACCACGGGGGAGACATCGTATATACACACATATCTATATATATATATGCGAAGATATAAATTTCTCCGGGCAATTTAGCCGCGAAGAGAGCCGAAACGATTCGCAGCCGCGATTCGCCCTTTCTCGGCGAAACGATGAAAAACCGATTTGGGGCGCGCCGCAAAGCCCGTCCGATCGTTATTCTTTAAATCGTCGCGACTGATACAGTGCGAAAATGTAAATGCAAAGAAAGTCCCGGCCGGGCCGGGTTCGCGAATCCATCCATCTTGTTTTTGAACGCATTAGTCACGCGCACGTTGCGAAACGACGGCGGCGGGGAGGGACGGCTGCCGGTGGTGGTGGTGACGGTGGAGGTGGTGGTGATAGTGGTAGTGGTCGTTGTCTTCGTCATCGTCGACGTCGTCGTCGTCAACGACGTATTTCCCTTGCCTCCCTCCCATCCTGTTTCGCCTCATAACTGTTCGATTTATTAAATCAGGATTATCTAAGCCCATTACTTTGTCCCGCGCAGCTAGATACAAAACCACATTTGTAACTTGTGTAAAGCCCTTATGGCGGGGGTTGTCGAGAGAGAAAGAGAGAGAGGAGAGAGAGAGAGAGAGAGAGAGAGAGAGAGAGAGAGAGAGAGAGAGAGAGAGAGAGAGAGAGAGAATTATTTCCGCGGTCGTCCACCCACCGTCCTTGCGCGCTCCCCCTCACTTACCCGTCGCGCTTCTGTAACAGATAATACCGATAGCATCTGATCTCTCCGCTGACATCGCCGTCTAGGCGATTTATTATGCGAAAGATTACACGGCCGTGTGACTCAGTTCTCGGGAAAGGACTGGCGAGAAAATTCGCGCTTCGCTCCTGCGATTATCCTCGCGTGTGCGAGGTACAACCGATAAGACCGCCGTGAATCCTCAGATCGATTCTCGTAAGTATCGCGAATTAATGTAAAAACGAAGCATCACGCTCAAAGAACACGTTCCCCGCGAAACACGGTGTTGGTGCTAATGAAAATATTATTTTCGAAAGATTATTTCAACGACAATCGACTGCAAGATACAGTCATCGCGACAGACAGTGGAGCAAGTCGAATAGGCGCAGACGTTGAGAAGAAGATAGAGCGCGGTAGGGGAAAAAGAACGTCATAGGCGGACAAAAGCGGACGCGAACAGACAAGAAGCGTAGAATGACAGAAAAAGAGTCGGCTGCCTAGCTTTGGGAGGAAATGAGATGAGAGGGAACGAGGTAGGAAGGTAGGAGAAGGATAGAAATGAGCGACAGGAAAGGATATCCTCTGCGCAAAGGGAAACGAGAAAGGAGCGAGTTAGGGGATGGGAGTGACTGCAAGAGGGAGATAAACAGTAGGAGGGAGAGACGGAAGAACTGTGTATGCATAGGAACGGATTTCGATGTAAATGCGTGGGAAAGGAAACTGCGGATTGCAGTTACAAATTGTTCTCCTCCTCCCCCTCTATCCTTTCTCTGTCTCTCGTTTAAAGCCGCGTATATTCGTTTTGAAGTGTCATCGGCGCCACTGATTGATCCAATCAGTTCTCGCGTTTTTGCTTTCGACACACACACAGAGAGAGAGAGAGAGAGAGAGGAGGGGGCAGGGGGAGGGGAGGAGAGAAAGAAATCACGTCGGATTTTAGAGTCTCTTGCCGATAAATTACGGTCCGATAATTCCTCGCTCGCGAAAAGCGGATCGTGGGTCGCAAATGGAGAGCACTTAGCGCTTATGGAGGCTCTCGCTAACGTCGATTGCCAAAAAGTTAATTAATCGGAAACGCTGCCAAGAACGGGGACTGAACTTTCGTATTCCGATTGAATTATATGGCGTATTAAAAGAACGACAAGCGAAACGGAGAAATACATTCTCTCGGTTAAAAGAGACGAGGGGGAGTCGAATTTTTTTGCCACCTCGTCCCTGCGCCCAATTTTAATCTTCAATATTCGCGTTTGTCGCCATTACGACTAACTCATAATCGATCCCATTGTCGTTTCGACCAGATCAACGCTGCCTCGTCGTCACGTCGACGGGGAGGTAGAACATATAACACCCGTAACATTTTTTAAAATCCATATCCGCGTATGTGGCGCGTATAAAAGGTGCATCGGAGCTTAAAAATTTATCGGCGAACCGACATGAAAGCGTACCCTTTGAATAATAAGCGGACCGCGCAATGACGCGGAAAACTCTCGAGTAAATGTCACACATGACTCCGCACGCGTCGTTAAGCATTACGCCGGCCCCGGCGCGTTTAGCAAGAATTTTATCCTTATAACTCCTTCGCCTTTCGTGCGCGCATGGACTTCGACTTCGTGCCGGTTCGCTCGCAGGTCGACTCTGAATTTTGCAATAATCACGATACGCGCGCAACGTGGCTATACATTCGCTGACGTTGATCTTTTGATTGCGCTCACCAGATATATAGAGTCATTAGAAATTTTCAGTCATATACATCATGACTGTCGTTTATTCAAGGAAGAAATAATAATAATAATTTTCAGATATTTCTTTGCTACGTAATTTTATATTTGAGATACAAATACCGCTTTGCCTGAGGAATATTTGTAAAACATCCTCGCTTTCTCCTCGAACAATTAACAATTACGATGTATGACTGCAAAGACATACGATGCGTATGATGAAAATAATTTCTGGTAACTTTATACTTATGTCGAGAGATCAACACCGACGAGCGATGCGCGCAGGTACATACGTTTCTCCAGCGCAACGGAGAAAATCGGCATGGCAGACGCAGCAGTTGGCTCGTGGAATTACGCGTGTGCTTATTTCGTCAATTCTGGCCGTCGAAATGTGCTGTAAGATAACGGAGCACGGGCGTATTAATACCTCTTTTTGCGAGGCGTTACGGGTCCCGCGGCGAAAAAACCTGCCTTTTGCCTTTTGTCATGTTGATGCATGTGGTACGATAGTATGGCGAGAGATATCCGTGATGCAAACAAAACTATTGAGCCTCGACCGATGCCCTTTAACGCACATTGACTGGCCGGGCTTCTTTTAGTATAAAATTTGCATTTACGCCATATGGCGTGACGCGACAGCCTATTTGTAACCCACCGACGGGGTGGAGTAACGAGAGCTCCTAAATGCCATCAAACCGAGAGTGTTAACCGCCGCAGGCTCGATATTTGTGTCACATG